ATAGATAGATGTCTACATACTACATAGCACATAGATACAGACTGAAAAGTTACATCAATTTGCAAAATTCTTTTCGATTTTTGGGGTAGAGCTTGTAACAAACTGTGATTGATGAAGAGATGAAAAGAAAAATGATTATTTGTATAAAAAAAGAGATAGAGCTAGATGTTATAAACATATCCAGGGGTAGGTTACATAATGTGATCAAGGGCACCAACGACACGCTTGAGATGTGTTCTGATGTGAACTAGATGCCTCTCTATCTCTCCATGCAATCTCTATACTATCCATTGTCTTTGTTGATCATAACTTACCTAGAACAGATTAGTGTCTCTTCTCAAACCTTAGCTTATATAAAAACGGGGACGGGGTTTATATAGCTCGGAGATGTTTTAGTGTAAGAAAGGAATTGAAGTTTATACAGCGCTGGGAACTAATTAGCATTATCTTTGTTCGATATACCGAAATGTAATTGTACCCTAAAGGGATAACTTAAATGAAGATATTAAGCACTGATACTCAAATTAAAAGTGCCCATTGTGGATATCGAGATCAAGCGAACGGGATTATAAGTATCCGCTATCCAACTCAAAAGTTCCAATCTCTGAATTTATTTTTTATACAAAGGAACTGAGTTTTTGTCACAAACTCTACTTTTCTAATCTCTATATCTTAGCTACCTAATGTCGTAGACCTTTGATATTTCAAACTATGAATTCTGTTAGATCAAATAATCTAAGTTTGAAATATCAAAGGTTTACATCATCAGATTGTAAAGATATAGGGATTAGATAATTCGAGTTTGTGCCAAAAACTCAGTTCCTTTGTTTAAATAATTTTTTAAAAATACAGGTTTCCAAAAAAAATATGAAAATATGCAAAATTATGCACAAATAGACAACATTTATTACAGTTTAATCATGCTGCATAATATGTTTATAAAGACCCAACAATCTTTCTGTAATATCTTACTTGTCTTTACTTCACTGTGGACTAGGGTCAATTTGAATCCAAACCGGACCGGCCACTTTCACCGGCCAATGTACAGGCCTGACCCTATCCTATGCCGGCTCAGTTTCAACTTTGGTAGCGTGGCCAGACTTTGTACAGTACCTGGCCTATCATAGGCCTTTTTAACCTATCCCAGCTTAGTTTATTGTGACATCTACATATATCTACATAATAGACAGAATTATTGCGAACATACACAAAAAAGGGTACACGCTCCAATCATTGTAAACATTAATATGGTGGCTTAAACTATACTTTATTGCCACCCCTTTAAAAATAATTACTTTATAAAGATCTGGTCAAGAATAAGAAAATCCTGCATTGTATATCCTTCTATTTTTCCTTTTAACCAGTTGGACCCAAAAATCCGGAAAAATGCCAGAAATGCAAATTATTTATCGTTTGTCTGGAGTCAAGAATTTGTTTGACGTGACCCCAAGGTTTTATTTCTGTTGATGCCGGTTGTATTTTTACCAGGCATATTATTGATAGATGTTAGACTGGGTCAACTTTAACGTTCCTTGGCCTTTAATTTTACTTCACTTTCATCTTGTGTAGCCCTAAACACGTACATTTGAAACTCTTTTAGCTTTTGTTTTTTAGAAGTAACTGGCAAGATTTTTATAGATTTGTTCGTAAGAGCTTGCAATTTCTTTCCATTTTTACTGTAATGCTCGGCAACTGGTTTAAAAACAACAATTTGTGAGCAAGTCCAATTTTCCTAGCCTGCCAGGAAAGTGCCTCTTTTTGTTTACAATATTTGTTATTGTTTTGATAAACTAGTTCATAACAGTCAAATGTGTACACAAACCATATTCAACTTACCTTTTAGTATACAAACCTTGGTATTCAACTTACCTTTTAGTATACAAACCTTGGTATTCAACTTACCTTTTAGTATCCAACCTTGGGTTTTACGATGTCTCATACTTGGGAATTCAAAATAATTCAGAACTTTGGAGATTTTTTAGTCATAGATATTTGCCAGGAATATCAGGAACAGGATCTGAAACCCCCCCCCCCTCCCTAGTGTATTAGCAGATGTATACATGTTTGGACACTTGATAATATTATTTATCCGGATAAATGTAGATTGTATACTTATGTTTCCGATATTAACGTTAATCTCGATATCCAATGTGAATTTGAGACTTGAGAATTAATCCCTGAATTTTAAGCACCTCTGACCTCTGACCTCTTTAGATGGATTGATATATATGTATAGACCTACACAATTATACACAAAGATGGATAGATAGATAGATTATAGATCTACACAGTACACATAGAAGGATAGATGGATAGATGATAGACTTACACAGTATTCATAAATGGAATTTGATAAATTTATATACTTACACATGGATTGATGAATATATGTATAGACCTACACAATACAAATAGAAGGATAGATGGATAGATGTATAGAACTACACATAGATGGATTACATACGTATATGCATTTATAATTAGGCCACCGTTGAGCTTCAGGGTTAAGCATTTAAACAATTCCCTTCCACTAGGATAGATGCAGTCAAATAGAGATCTACGACCATTATTATAAAAGAAAGAAAGAAATTCATTAAATGAAAATTTTCTGTGTTTTCATTTATCAAAAATATAGTTTAACTAAACTCAGTGCAGCTCAATCAGACTGAGTTTGAATTACATTTCTCCCAGAGTCTGAAGTCTATTTCGCGATATAGAAAATAATCTATTTAAAAAAGAAACCCTCAGACAAAGGTTGAGTCGGCGTGCCAGTCGCAAACTAGAGGTTCACTTGAAATTCCGTCTCCAGTCCTTTTAACGATGCTCATCCAAGTTTAATCACGATGTATGTTGTATGAGAGTAAACATATCTATTTCTTCTTCTTATACATTACACAGTACTTGTTAAAAGAGTCTTCCTCCGTTTCCGTATTCAATACATGCACCCATTATATATATTCAATACATGCACCCATTATACATATTCAATACATGCACCCATTATACATATTCAATACATGCACCCATTATACATATTCAATACAGGCTCCCATTATACATATCAGATACATCAAATAGTTATTCTACAACTAGTAGGAAAGTAAAATTAATCTTAGGACACTTTAAATTAAACGTACGTACCTCTACAATTGTAAATAAAGCTATTTCCCTCAAGTCTGATAATTTAGCTATATAACGTTCTATTTTACTTTTTTCAGTAGGACCTATTAAACCTTGGAATACAAAGACGACATTTTAAGCAATCTAAATCTAAAAATCTACTAACTAAGGAAAAACAAAGAGACCTTTGTACAATGTACAATTACTGTGTTTTATAAAATTCAATTGGACTATTTTGAGTCATAACTTGAGGGTAAACAGATTTCTTCCAATGTGTTTAAGGGTCCCACTGTACCTTAATTTGTTGCTATCTATCTATCTATCTATCATGATATTTTGTATTCCTGCCCATGATGTATTTGATAGATCTTTGAAGCTAGTTCAGACCAATGAATGTAAGGCAAGGAAAGTCATTTCAGTGGTGTACGCATTTTTTGTACTGCAGTGTACTGTCTTTGGGTTCTAATATAAACACAAGAGTAGGGGTGTCACAGCCTGACATGGGATCCATCTTTCAAATAAAAAATCAATGATTTATTCTGGTCATAGGAATTTATAACATAAATTATCAAAATTAAAAAAAACTTTAAGTTATTCCATTGTAATNTTTTCCATTAAATCCTGAGAGTCCAGCCGAGAAAGGAATTGTTTGATCAATTTTTTGGCAGATTTGTATTTTCCTTTTTTAATGTTCATTCATTCATTCATTTATATCTAGAAGTTTTGTTAGATTATTCATTTATTCATCCCCCTTCTCATAATTTTCTATTTAGTATAGACAAGCAATAATGTTTTATTGAATAATTGCATCTTAATCTAAACCAAGAAATATAATCATACCATTTAAAAACTAAGCGTACTGCAGTTACTGGGAGGAATGTATAATCTATACTCAGTCTCACGTCAAACTAAAGTAAAATTGAAATCTTATATGTTTTTAATCATAACTCTTATTATTGAAAAGTTGTTGAGAAGAACAAAAATGTTATTAAAATGTTATTATTATGTAAACAAAGATATGGGAGTTCGTATAATATATATTAGATATTGTCCTAAACGAACTATCACCGGGCCGAGGTTTGATAAACTCATTTATTATTGGGCTTAATTACACCTCATTCAGCAGCCATTGTGTTTAATCTGTTAATTTATCAATTCTTCATTCATTCTTTCATCCATCCTTCATTAATCTGTTCCAAAATATTTAATGTATTTTGAAATGGGGGGAGGAGAGGGAGGGGAGAGGGAGGGGAGAGGGCTTGAATATTTAAGTATTTAAGAAAAATTACTGGTGTTACAACGTTATAGTACATAAAATATTGATGTTTTCTGATATATTACAATTTTCATAATCAATAAAATTTATAAAAATGCAACTATTTTTATCTATTTATTTATATTCTATATTTAAAGATATCTTTATCTATATATTTATCTATCTTTCTATCTATCTATCTATCCATCGATCTATCTATCTATCTATCTATCTATTTATCTATACTGTATTCAATGTCAAGGTTACCCTGAGTATTTGGTGGCTAATGAACTGTTTATATATAGAGTATAAACCTACATCCTATCCATCTATCTCATCCTTTCCATCCATTCTTCTCCATCCAACCCTCTACATTCTTCCTTCTCCATCCTTACTTCTTCATACTCCCTTCTACATCCATCCTACCATCTCCATCCTGACTTTTCCATCCTGCCTTCTCCATCCTTAACCTTCTCCATTTTACCTTCTCTATCCTAAATTCTCCGTCCTAACTTCTCCACCCACCTTCTCCGTCCTAACTTCTCTACCTAGCTTCTCTGTCCTAACTTCTCGATCCATCCTATCTATCGATCCTATATCTTTCTCTAATCTCTGTATAAATTAGGAGATGGACACTGTCCCCGGCAGAACGGAGTGTATCCTAGCGATGAACCTGGAGAATGTGATGTTTTCTATTCTTGTTTAAACGGTGTTGGAAGCTCAACACGGTGCGCTGAGGGACTACATTACTCAGAAGAGGTTGGTCATATTATTCTTACTGTATACTATATAGTTCGGTACAAGTCCAGAACAATAAGCAGAGAAATAGGGTTCCAGAGAAATAAATAGGGTTGCAGAGAACTTAAGAGGGTTGCGGAGAACTTAATAGGGTTTTGGAGAAATAAATAGGGTTGCAGAGAAATAAATAGGGTTGCAGAGAAACAAATAGGGTTGCAGAGAAATAAATAGGGTTGCAGAGAAATAAATAGGGTTGCAGAGAACTTAATAGGGTTGCGTAGAAATAAATAGGGTTGCAGAGAAATAGGGTTGCAGAGAACTTAATATGGTTGCAGAAAAATAAATATGGGTGCACAGAAATAGGGTTGCCGAGAAATAGGGCTGCAAAGTTAAATAGGGTTGTAAAGAAAAAGTTGCAGAGTAATAAATTAGGTTGCAGAGAAATAGGGTTGCAGACCAAAAGGGTTGCAGAGAAATAAATAGGGTTACAGAGAAGAAATAGGGTTGCAGAGCAATATAGTTCCACTGCAATAGGGTTGCAGAGAAATAGTAGCAGAGGAGAACAGTCAGGTTGTAGAGCAGCATGGTTCTAGAGAAACAAGTTTGCTGAGCAATAGAGTTACAGAGCTATAGAGTTATATAGCAATTGTACTGTGCACAGTAATCGTATTGCAGAGCAATAGGGTTGCAGAGTAATAAAGTTGTAGAGAATGTATACACAAAAACTGGGTGCACATGGAGAATTAAAAATAGTTAAAGAGCTAGTGACTAGTGAGTTTGTAGACCAAATGACAGCTGCTAGTATACAGTTGATGAGTTAAAAGGAGATGCAAAGAAACATGACGGGGAGGGGAGGTGTAGGGGGGGGGCTGTATGTAGAGTTCACATTCTTTTCCTCTCTTCCGGGTTTACTCTAGTTCGTGATGCTAGGATACTAGAAAACGTGAACTGGGTGATAATAAATATTATCCTTGGGCTTTCATTAGGCACGGGTTACAGGGGTTCAGAGGGGTACCAGGATACCAGGGAACCAGAAAACCAGGATACCAGGAAACCAGGGAACCAGGATACCAGGATACCAGGATACCAGGATACCAGGATACCAGGATACCAGGGAACCAGGGAACCAGGATACCAGGATACTAGGATACTAGGATACTTGGATACTAGGATACCAGGATACTAGGATACCAGGATACTAGGATACCAGGATACTAGGATACTTGGATACTTGGATACTAGGATTTTAGGATACTAGGATACTAAGATACTAGGATACTAGGATACTTGGATACTAGGATACTAGGATACTAGGATATTTGGATACTAGTTTACTAGGATACTAGGATACTAAGATACTAGGATACTAGGATACTAGGATACTAGAATACTAGGATACTCTCATATTCCAGTATCCTCCTATGTTTATACTCCATTATACTCTAGTATCTCCAGTATACTCCAGTATCCTCCTATGTATTTACTCCAGTATACTTTAGCATCCTCCTATGTATAAACTCCAGTATACTCAAGTATCCTCCTATATATTCCAGTATACTCCAGTATCCTCCTATATGTATATACTCCAGTATACATGTATAGATCTTGTTCCTGTATATACTCCAGTATCTTCCTATATGTATATACTCCAGTATCCTCCTATATGTATATACTCCAGTATATATGTATAGATCTTGTTCCTGTATATACTCCAGTATACATGTATAGATCTTGTTTCTGTATATACTCCAGTATACATGTATAGATCTTGTTCCTGTATATACTCCAGTATCCTTCTATATGTAGATACTCCAGTATACATTTATAGATTTTGTTCCTGTATATACTCCAGTATACATGTATAGATCTTGTTCCTGTATATACTCCAGTATCCTTCTATATGTATATACTCCAGTATACACGTATAGATCTTGTTCCTGTATATACTCCAGTATCCTTCTATATGTATATACTCCAGAATACATGTATAGATCTTGTTCCTGTATATACTCCAGTATCCTCCTATATGTATATACTCCAGTATACATGTATAGATCTTGTTCCTGTATATACTCCAGTATACATGTATAGATCTTGTTCCTGTATATAACTATTTACCCGTGGGAAAGAATGTGTTGTTAGTTCTCATGTTTATTGTTTAAGTTCGGTATTTAAACTAACTAGGGAAGTAATATGTAATATTAAGGGGCGTGGCATCTTAGTTACCTCCCCTGAACTATATATATATAGATAATGTATTGTCTTAAATTCGCACATATTCCCTCATGCAAATATTCTTATTATATATTTTAGGTTTTGTTGGGGGGGGGGGGGGATTACCCCCCTCCTTGATGATATTATACCATATGGTAAACTTCTGCATTCTTTTATCCGTTATTTAGTTTAAACTTGTCATTCTTAGATAATGCAGTTTACAGTTACACTGTAGTGTCTTAGTTCAATCTTTAACCACTTGTTGTGACATAGTGCTTCATAACATTACATTAGATTTAATACCGGATACAAGATAAAATTCATTCAAGGTGTCACAATTTAAGGACAATTTAGGGAAGTAAACGCTCTAATTCATTATTGAATCTTCAAATACTTGAAGGCCAGATTTCCCTACTCTAGCAATTTCCAAATGTGGTCTGCTCTTTCGATTCAATCAAAACTGATTTAGAGTTCAAGCGTTTGCTCCTAATTTCAATTTATTCCATGAATTAAAACTGACCATGTTTCTATGAACATATTAAGAAAGTAGATCACATTTTAAAAAAGTTAAAAGTTCTTCAACACATTATCTTACAGATCTTGTTTCGTGCATTTATTACCATGTTTTTATGAAGGTAGATCACATTTTAAAAAAGTTAAAAGTTCATCAACATATTATCTTATAAATCTTGTTTCGTGCATTTATTACCATGTTTATGGGAACCCCCCTGCAGCTTGCAATAAGATAAAAAAAATCAGAAAATGTAAGAATTCATAAGAAAGGAAAAGAATATAAAAGCGAAAATAAGGATTGACAATTTAGATTTGGAAAATTCAAATATCACAAAGAAAAATATGTTTTTTTTTGTCTCTAGGTTGGAACCTGTGTCTGGGCTCGAGACTCCGGGAGGAAGGGTTGTGTATCTTTATCAGACCCGGAGCAACCCAGACGAAAGAAAAACCCTGTCTCCACACCTGACCAAGCAACAGAGAAAACCGAACTTGTCGCCCTTGAAAACGGGTTTAAGTGTCCGGGCGGCAAATTAGGAAAAGCCACCATTTTATACATTTTACACATTTTATACATTTTATACATTCCACATTTATCCTCAGGAATCCTGAAAGCTTTTCATCATTTATCTTTAACATTAAAGAGTTCTGATTTTAGAACGGAATATTAAAGAGTTATTATTCTAATTTATCCAACATCCTGTACCCCCCCCGTAACACCCCCGCCCCCACGTCAAACAAAAGTAAATGACACGTGATATGGAAATCTTATATGTTTCAAATCATGTAACTGCTCTTATTGAACCGCTAATGCGAAGAATAAAAATGCTTTGACATTTTTAAAATGTAATTGTTAAACAAATTGAGTCTTTGCCGCAAACAGCAAACTCTGATTTCTACTCCCTAAACCTGTGCACCCCAATGACGTAGACCATAGACATTTCAATCTATGAATTCTCTAAGATCAAATCATCTTAGTTGGAAATGTTAAAGGTTTATCCCATCAGGTTGCAAGATTATAGGATTATACATTTTCGAGTTTGAAGCAGTTCTTTTGATTTTCTCTAGCTTTGTCACAAACTATGATTTTCTAATCTCTATATCTTTATAACCCAATACCTTAGACCTTAGATATTTCAAACTAGGTATTAATATAGGTATTAGAAAATCAGAGTTTGTTACAAAGACTCAATTCCTTTGACTTTCTCCCTTCTTCTACCCCCCCCCATTCCCTTCCCTCCCCATTCATTCCTGCAATAATATGGTTTGTGATTAGGCGTACACCCCGCCTTTCCCCACCCTACCAGCTGCAGGGAGTACTACGTCTGTCTGAACGGTATAACCCCGAACGAGGCCGGATGCAGCGCAGGCCGAGTGTTTAATCCGTCAACCTCGTCTTGTGATTCTCCGGAGAATGTTCCAGGATGTGAGGATACATATAATAAATCTAAGGTAAATATTTTAATATTTTTTCTTTAATTTGAAATTATCTTGACGGAGACTTTCATTCTAATCTACAGGGGACATGGTTGATCTATATATAACTATACTCTTTAAATCTGAACAAAATTATGTTGAAGATATTGCGGTTTGTTTAGCTTGAAAAATATTTGATATTGACTTTCTCACCTAAAAAAATTAATAAAAAATAGCGAATTTATGAGGTTGCAAAGTAACATTCGCAAAAGGTCGACTTTAATCCTTATGTCTAGCTCGGAGCAAAAAAGTTTATTTGTATAAGAAAAATTTCAGTATTATCCATTTAAATCTTAAGATCGAGAAGTAAATATAAATATGCATTTACAAAATTTTCGAGGGAGTTTATAAACTAAATAGGACAGTTTTTATAACATTTTTTTGGTTTAAAAGGGAAAAAAGGTATAATTTTTTTACTTTAATTTTTTGTAAAGAATTTCAAAGATTTTCTAAACTATAGTTTTACTTTAAATAATCTTGAAGGAACTGTAAACATAATTACCAGTTACCCTCCGTTTATAGAGAGACATGTCCGATCCACAACGGTATCACGGTATCCTTAAAAGCTTTATCTGAACACAAATGATGAAAATATCATTGTGTAATTTTTTATAAAAGCGACTTTTGGAAAGAGTCATTGACAGAGTTAAAATACGTTTTAAGATTGAAAACCAACGATATCTTCCTCATTGTTAGTCAGATGAAAGCGTAAAGGGTGCCGTTGTGAATAGGGCTCTTCAATTCTTCAATTCGAGATTATTGGGATATTTTGTTTACAGTCCCTTTATGTTTGCTCTGATTAGGATATTTTGTTTACAGTCCCTTTAAGTTTGCTCTGATTAGGATATTTTGTTTACAGTCCCTTTAAGTTTAATTGCTCTGATTAGGATAAACCAAAGCTCTCTGCTCTCCGGGAGGAGGATAGATCTTCCAGTTCCTCCAGTTCCTCCAGCTCCCCCAGCTCCCCCAGCTCCCCAGATATATCTAACAGCGAGTTTAGTGGATTTCTAGCTTTACTTCAGGAACAATAACATTCCAAGTTTTGCCGCGTTTTGCTTGTGTTGCCACATTTACAGGGAGTTCTTTGTCAATTTGTGCTCCATTTTAGAATTTCCAAGATAGGACATTGTTTTGTTTTTTTCATTGCAGTTTTATTTTGAAACTATTATAAAGTCGTCGCTTATTTCCCTAGTTTCTTAAACTCTGCGCATGGATGGCCTTCAATACACGTCATGGCTAAAAATTTCACGAAATTATAAATTACTTTAATATTTTCTAATTATTGCAACAAATTCCAGTTAAAATAGAGCTTAATCTTGTCATGTCTTTAGTCTAGAATGATTTAGGAATGCCATTAATATATTTGCACGTAGTTCGGTGGAATTTTAATCTAAAAATTCGTTCCTTAATCTCCGGAATATTATACTGTAATATTTTATTAAACTGGAATGTTTGTTGGTTTTCAGGAAAAGGGTTTGTTGCAACCAGACGCCATTAAAAAACTTGGCTCCGCCATGAAAGAAGAATCTGACAGAGCAGAGGAGAAGGAAGAGAGAAGAAAGGAGGAGGAGGAGAGAGAGGAGAAAAGGAAGGAGGAGAAGGAGGAGGAGAGTTCTAGTACAGGATCTAGAACACACAGATTAATGAACCTTTTCTCCCGTAGGGTTCCAGCAAACAGAAGAAATAAGTTCACATCCAGCTTTATTCCTAGAGTTAGGAATAACAGTGATAAAGAAGATCAAGAAGAAGAAGAGGAGGAAGATGTTGAAGAAGTTGGTGAGGAAGAGAATGAAATGGACGAGAAGCATGTTGAAACCATGAACAAGATTATGGAAGAAATTCTTGACAATTCTGAAGATGAAACCATGAAGAAAATTATGGAAGCTATTCTTGATGAAGAAGAGGAAACCACTACTCCAGCTGCTACAGGTTTAGCTGGTCTGCTCAAGCGACGAAGACGACCTCAGTTCGGTCCGAATTCCAGGAAACCTGGAACTCTTTTCTCCAGGCATAGAACTAGACTTAGGAACGAACCTTCTTCAACAACAACGACAGAAGAGAATAAACTTGAAGATGATCCTGATGAGAATACTATCGAAACTGAGGCGGAAACTGTGAAACCCGTCATCTCTATTAAGGACAGGTTCACAAGTCTTAGACGGAGAAGACCTTTCCGACCTGCTCGGCCTTTGGAAAAGCCTGACCCAGATATTGAGGAAATGATGAAAGTATTGGAGAAGGAAGATGATCTAAAACATGAATTTGACAAGTTTATTCAAAAGAATTTAAACAGGAAACCAACTAGCAGATTCCGTCCCAAACTTGACAGATCAAGATTAAGAGTTTCCGGTAGAAACCGGTTCCGACCTAAAACCAGTTTTAAAGACGAAGATATGGAGGAGGTGGAGGATACTGAAACTCCGACTGATGCTGAAGCTACAGATAGTCCGACTACTAACCCTTCTACATCTGAGCAGGAAATTGCTACAACTATTGTATCTGAAAAAACGTCTACAACTACTACTACTACTACTACTTCAACTACCACAACAACCACTACTACTACTACTACTACTGCTACTACGACGACCACAACTACAACTACCCCATCAACTACCACAAGCACGTCTTCTACAACAACAACCACTCCTACAACAACTGAGCCAAGTACAGTTTTTGACACAACTCCGTTTTTTGTGCCCACCGCTCCTACTTTTGCCGACACAGTTACAGAGAATATTCGGGATAATGAAGTTTTTCCAACCTTCACTCCAGTATTACAAACTACAGGTGGTGCAAGGGTACCTGGAGAGACTAATAAGAACACCGAACCTAGTGAATATGAACCATTTGAATATGTTTACTATGAGTACTATTATGATTATGAATACGATGATGAAGACTCTGTTGAAGAGCCAAGAAGTTCTGACGGTTCTCTGGGTACTCAGTTTAACACAGGCCCAAGGACAGATAATTCTCCGGAAGCGGTCGGTTCAACCTTAGCTCAACTTCCGGAACCATCCTCCCGAGTTCCAAATACAGCTCCAGAGTTTAATGTAATCCTACAAGACGAGACAGATTTTGATCCCTCTGGTTCCTTCTCTTCAGATTTTACTCCGAATGCTCGTCAGCCTCCGCCCAGGTTTGAGGTATTATCCGCAACAGATGAGGAGAAATTTCAACCTGAGCAAACCAGTCCAAACCGCAGACCAGATAATTTAGCTTCTACTACCTTTCCTAAACCTGCTCAGCCAATCTTCCTCCAACAACCCAGATCACACGAAGATGTTCCTCAGAGGTTAAGACCACAGGAACCAAATCCAGTCAGATTTAGACCTGAGGAACCAGCTCCAAGTAGATCCCCGACCAGTTTCAGTCCTGATCAATCTTCTCCTCCTTCTAGGTTTAATACAGAACAGCCCTCCTCCTCAAGATTTGGACAAGAAGAATCAAGGCAAACTGAACCTGCCCCACTTAAAGAGGATAACCCTACTCCTACTCAAAGAGTTGGGTTTGGGAGTCCTCCTGCACCTCCTAGACCTACTCCCCGATTATCTGATTCTGGAACTCGGTTCCCCCATTTCCAAAACTTTAAACCAATTGATCCAAATTCCGACCCTATAATTTCTCCTGCAACAAGGAATAATCCTGCAATAACCTTTCAAGATGAAAATGTTCTGGCTTTAGACCAAAATATATTGGAACAAGAGAGAAGGCTAGAGCAGGAAAGAAGGTTAGAAAAGGAAAGAAGAGTGGAACTAGATAAGAAAGCTGAACAAGACAAGTTGGCTGTACAAGCCAGAAAAGCTGAACAAGAGAGAAGAGCTGAACTTCTTAAACAAGAAGAGCAAGAGAGAAGAGCCGAATTTGACAGACAAGAAGAGCAAGCCAGAGTTGCTGAGCAAAACCGGATCAAGGCAGAAGCCAAGAAATTAGAGCAAGATAGAATAGCTGAACAAAATAGAATTGCTGAAGAAGCTAGAATTGCTGAACAAAACAGAATAGATGAACTTGAAAGAATCAAAGAGCAAGAACGAAAAGCTGAACTAGAAAAGATTGAAGAGCAGGATAGAAAAGCTGCTCTGGAAAGAGAAGCGGAACAAGAAAGGATAGAACAAGAACAAAGAGAAGAAGAAGAGAAAAACAGAAAGATTGCCGAACAGGAACAGCGTGAAAAAATTAGACTTATTGAAGAAGAAAACAAGAGAAAACTTGAACAAGAAAGAATCTTGGAAAGGGAAAGAATTTTAGAAGAAGAACAAGAGTTTGAAAGAGAACAAGAAAGAATAAGGCATAGGGAGGAGGAAGAACGTAAGAAACAAAAGAAACAAGAAGAAGCATCAACTTTTGGACCATTTAGTGCTTTTAGAAACTTCCCTCAATTTCCCCGAGATCAAGAAAAGGAATCAATTGTAAACCTAAATAATTTCGTGATAAATCGTCCTGCTCAACCTGCCAGTCTTGAACCAGAGCCTCAGCCTTTAGTTGATACTCCCAGACCCATCCTTCCTCCTACTTCCCTATCCTCTGCTCAACAACCAGCTCCAGCAAGCAATCAAAATACTTTCTTCCAAAATCAGCAATCTCGACCTTTCCAGAACCAGCCTTTCCAAGGTTTTCCAAATCAGGGAACCCAGCCTAGTCAATCCTTCCAACCTTTCCAAACCCAATCCTCTCAATCTTTTAGGACCCAACAGCCTTTTACATTCTTCGGGCAACAGTTCCCCAGTCCATCTAATCAGCAAACCCAACCCAGACCCCAACCTCAGGCTCAGGAGGATCAGAGGTTTGGAAATCCTCCGTTCTCTGTTTTCGGATCCAACCCCTCCCCTGTGAGCGGTGGTGGTGGAGGACGAGGGGATGTTAACAATGCTATTATCCATGACCCTGACTCACAGTCAACCTCATTTTTTAGTTTCAATTCTCCCAGTTTCCGTGCCGGGCAGCCAACAACTAAGCCTGAGGAGCCAAGATCCATCCAATCAATCTTTCCATCTTCAGGATCATCATTTCAATCCTTCCCAGGTTCAGTGTTCGGAGGAGGAGCTCCACGCTTCTCAAACCGCCCCAGTCCAGTACAAACAGTCCCAGGCAGATAGAATAAATTATCCTTAAAGCGTCATATCAACTTTTTATATGAGATTTCTCCCATTGGTATAGGTCGATGTGTGAATATTCCATTGTTTGCTTATTGATAGAAGACTGAATATGAATACTAAACTCTGCCATACGTACAGGGTGGTTCACATCGTATTGAAATTTCCCAAAATGTTTACACATAAACATCAACTAAAATATTAAATTAATTTATTGTCTACTCAAAAACACATTAATTATTTATAAATCAGAAATTGAGTCTAAGCCACAAACTCTGATTTTCTTATCCCGATATCTTTACAACCCGATGCCGTAAACCTTACTATTATTATTATTATTATAATTATTATTATTTTTTAAATTAGAAATATCATCAGGTTTACATCAATAGGTTGTTTAGAAATAGGGATTCGAAAACTTGAGTTTGTGGAAAAGATTCAATTCCTTTTCCAAAAGAACCCATCGCTTGAAACTTTATGGGAAATCCTAAAAAGCTTGATTAAAAGTATGATGTGATTTGAATCACCCTGTATTAAAGCTGAGTGAGGGTTTAATATAAGCTTATCTACAGATATAAATTTAAAAACTGCTTTATTGTCAGGCATAAAGAAATACCTTGACTGTCACCTTTATCACCACAAGGTTAGCTTGGGTTTCATTAAGGGATGTTGCAATAAACTAATCTGAAAGGTTTTACAGGGGGATGTTGCTATAAACTAATCTCAAAGTTTTCACGGAGGGATGTTGCAGTAAACTAATCTTAAAGGTTTCATGGAGGGATGTTGCAATAAACTGATCTTACAGTTTTTCCACAAGAAGTGGTAGAGCTTTGTTATGAATTCTTAGTTTGAAATATCAAATGAAATTTACACCATAAGGATGCGAAGATATAGAGATTAGAAAATTAGAATTTACACCATAAGGTTGTGAAGATATAGAGATTAGAAAATTAGAATTTACACTATAAGGTTGCAAAGATATAGAGATTAGAAAATTAGAATTTGTAGAGAAGACTCAATTTCTTTCTTCAAAAAGGTTAAAAAAGCTGTTACAACAACAACATTTATGATATAGAAAAAGTAGCTTTCACGCTCTTTATTTAGGGAGATTGCATTAAATCTGTTTCATGCTTATGACCTCACATTTTTTTAGAAGAGATGTTGCAATAAACAAAACTAAGATTTCAAGCTCCACGGTTCATATTTGAATAAGATAAATAAGAACGGATACAGTTCAACCATTGGAAAGTTTTAATAAGTTTCAAACAAAAAAATTAATAGAATTTATGTTTTGCTTGTTCCATATCTTAAATCATTTATTCATCTATTCATTCCTCGGTTAGTCCGCACATCCTATCTATTTAATCAAATATAATTAAAGGTTGGCAGGTTTGGATGGATATCCTCAAAACTTGAATTTTTACGGATAATGTTATATCTGTTCAAGGTTCAGTTCCTGTTCAGAGACCTAACCCTCCCCAAACAGTATTCAACCTTGCGCCTTTGCAGTCGCAAACCGGAAATAGATTTCCGGAGCCCCAATTCGGCGGCTTCCGGCCTGTAAAAAGACATCTAGGCTCTGATACCTTGTCAGAGCGAGTGAGCCGTGAAGAAAGAGAAGAAAGGCCAAGGCAGATTGAGTTTTCAAACCGGAAGTTCCAGAGAAACCATGCGCCACGTGCTCAACGGCGCACGCAGCGTGCTAAATCTGCAAATCAAAATTACCGTGCGCAAAAATCAGTGCACGGAAATCAACATATGAGTGGCTATTTAAAAAATAGTAAGAAAAGCGCAATCACAGACTCAATATATGATTTGTTATACGATTACTAGTGAACTGTCATAATACTCTAAATGAGACCTGATTGTAAAATTCAAGTTAAACTCAAAAATAAAGACATTTACATGAAACAGCGAGCAGAAGCTTATGTCATTAAATGCACCATTGTTTTACCCTTATAGTCAAATATATTGATAGATTTCTACATATTTTCTCACATCTCAATAAGTTTTTATACATGTTTAATGTTGCTAATACGACACACTGATTTGTAAAATACTGTGCTCACTCGTGCAATATGTGTTCCAAAATATTGTTCCGTTGGTGTTAAAATTTCAAAATATCAAGTGAAAAAAAGTTTAAAACATTAAATTTAAAACTTAAGTTCCTAATTATAAATCGTCTTGGATTAATATTTTTCCTTGAGTACAGATATAACAACTGATAACGAAAACTCTTTGTCGCAGGATTTTTATAAAGTGGTCTGCCATTTTTGTTCCTTTAAACTATACCATCATTTGTCCAAATTACAATTTAAAAAAAATCTATTTTGAATATCTGATTGGTCCGTTAAAATACATAGAAGAAAGACTTTAGAAAGCATATAAGACTATTAAGTCGTCGATCTTTTTCTAAAGAGTCTTTGCCACAAACTCTGATTTTCTAATCTTTGCAACCCAATCGCATAGACATTTGATATTTTAAACTATGAATTCCGTTAGCTCAAAAAATCTAAGTTTAAAATATCAATTTTATATTACCATGTTACAAAAATATAGGTATGAGAAAACTTGAGTTTCTGGCAAAGATTTAATTTCTTTTGCTAATGCAATCTTCAAAAATGTTCAATATTTATCCTGTCAAGGGTTGCAACTTGCAAACTTTCCTAACTAATAGAAAAAATGCTAATTTTGTTTTATTTTATTTTTTTGGCTTTGACAAAATAAAAAATTTTCTTTTAATGATTTAGTGACAGTTTTTGCTAATTTTTTCATCGAGTTTGTTAATCTTAGGGTTCTCCGAAAAAAAAATTAATTAGGGGAAAAATTTATCTCAATAAAATAAAACCATGAACATATTCAGAAAACCAATTTTATTTTCATCCATGTTAAACTTTGTTGTGTGATTAATTAAGTTAAATTTTCTTATCAAATATTACCTGGATCCCGCCCCTTTCTTCTAGAAAAGAGCAACCTTCTGTGACAATATATCTATTCTAACCTAATCTAACCTGGGAACTTTTGTGTTGGATAATCATAATCCTGATCCTTTGATCTCGATATCCACTGTGGACACTTTTTAATTTTAATTAATTAATGCTTAATCTCTTCATTAAAGTTATTTGTCTGGGTACGATTACCATTACAATGGGCAGATTAATAAATGATCAAGATCAAGTGCATTGATCTCTGTATCCAAATACCAGAGTTCCCACCGATGGATTAGTATAATCAAAGAAGGAGGCTATTTTTCAGAGAGTAGAAGGGGTTCCAATAGTTACCGGTTTTAAGCAATTTAGTTCACCCTGGATTATATTTGGAGCGGTAGCAGGTCTGGATATTGTTTATCGTGTAACAATGGTTCCGGATACGGATGTTCCTCGCCATAATTTGTGCGGCGCGGTTGCCTCAGGCGTACAGATCACCAAATATATATAAATATATATATATTGAGATATTAGAACAGATAAACATTTCCATGCTGTAACTGTTGCGCCAAATTTAAGTATAACGAGATAAGATCTAAAGGAAATGCCTGAAGAAACTCCTTATACATTCGTATAACTAGAAATATTTCAAGATCATATACAATACTATAGTTAAGAGAGTTCAGGGGCGTGAGAGGGGGGACCCATATAAAATATTCTTTAAAATCTCACTTTTGCCCTTAACTAAAAAGTTGCATTAAAAAGCATTAATCAATACTGCCTTCAGTGTAAATATATACCAACTCTATTTTGCACCCCTTTAAGCTTACACCACTGTAGTATTCAAAGGGAGTGTCTGATGAAGTTAAGAAAATTACATAAATAATTTATTAACGCTTGTAATATGGAAGTGTGATATGATTGAATAATTTACATAAAAAGGTATCCATATTTTTCAAAAAAGGGGTTTTTAAGGGCGGGCACAATGTTGCCAAGGAGAGGGGGGGGGGGCACCCCTTCCAAATTCTATCGTATGCCCCTGGGAGAGTTTAAGCAATCTTATGGATATTTGATTTTGTTATAAATCAAATAGTTATATTTACCAGTGGCTTTAAATCAACTTATTAGTTTAAATATAATAGATTATCAAGTACAATAGTTGGCAACAGAGAAATGGACCAAATATACATGACGTCACAAATGTCAAATGTAACAAGGAAAACAAATTTGCTCACATTACTTTACATGTTTTCCAACATTAAATAAAAAAGTGTAAAGAACAGAAAATAAAGAACAAATAAAAGAAAACTTATTTTACTACTGCAAGATAAGCACTTTATTCTAAAATTATAACTATTATTAATAATTTTGTCGGACTCTTGAGACTTAATTGACACTTGAGACATCAGAATACAGCGAGTGTTGCAAGTACGCATTAGTTTCATAAAAATGTTATCATATGCGCTCCATAATTAAGATATACAACTTACTAGCCTGTGTTAATGATAATAAAAAAATACCCAAGAGAACTGGACAATCCCAATCGCAAAAAACTACATATATCTTTGAACTGGTGTAAACATTTGATATTTTCAACTTTATAACTGTTTGATTTAATATAATTTATAGTTTGAAGTATCTAAGGTCTAGGAACCATGGCTATAGTTTGCAATAGTATCGGGTTAGGAGATCAGAGTTTGTGGCGATTTTGTGATCAATCTGTATATAGTTAAAGAAACCAATGGAGTCGAGCGACTACACTCAATGGTTACACAATTTATCAATTATCCATAGTACTTTGGTTCAAATTTATCCTTGAAAAGAACATCATTTGAATAACATAGGATTGAATCTTTGCCACAAACTCTGATTTTATAATCCTTATATCTTTGTAACCTAAAGTCGATACCTAAGATATTTACACCATCAGATAAAGATTAGAAAACTTGAGTTTGCATCAAAGACGCAATTCCTCTCTTAACATATTAGCAAATTTTAAAGGTGATGTTATGATGGGTAGGGAGGAGGTTGCATTTTACATCAGTAAAATAGGAAATTACATTAAAATTATAAAATCTCGATGAGAGATTCATTTTACTCCACTAAATTTTCAAACTATATTGGTAAACCAAACATTAATATACATTAATATTAATAAGATTGCTCAAATGTCGTCTTCCTTTTCCATCGTTTTATGGGGTTTAAAGTATATTAACTTAAATGTTATATATTATTTTCCTCTATTTTCCAGCTCTCAAACTAAGATAACACGAGTAAATAGTGTTCTCTCTCTGTAATTGTTTAAAAATACATTTTCACATTAAGCCTCCGAATCTACAGGGTTTACATAGATCCAGATTACTTTAAAATGTTGCATCCTTTTTTTGAATCGACGTGGCAACGTCCGACCTTTGATTTGACCGCAATAACTCATTTATAAATTCTTTTTGTATACCTTAACGTATACCTGTTTACACCATAACGCAGTGGATTAAATATAGTTTCAGTATTTAAGAATTGTTACTGGAAAAAATCGAAACGATTTTTGCGCAGGAGCTTGTATTTCGCACAAAAAAGGACTTCTAAAATGTGTCAAAAGTCAAAAGAATTAAAGTGTTTTTTTAATTATAACCGGTTTTTAAAGTTTAAATTCCATATAATTTTTGACTGTTTTATGAGTTTTGTAAGCTTTTACTAAATATGTAGATACATTCATAGGGATCCTCCACATCTTTTGTCTGAACAAGTATGAATTAGATATCATGCAATGTTTATAATTTCAAAAACTGATATTTTCAATCGGGGTTTCACTACAAAAGCGAAAACCGGAAAACATATAGAAATGATTAAAACTTGAATTTATTGTATTCATATAGATAAAAGATGTTCATAATATTATGTTTAAGCTAGCCTGTATTTAAATTTGAATTTATTGTATTCAAATATCTAAAAGATGTTAATAATATTATGTTTAAGCTAGCCTGTATTTAAACTCGAGTTTAATGTATTCATATAGATAAAAGATGTTCATAATATTATGTTATAGTTTATAGATATGTTTAAATAACTGAAATTTTATTTTATCCCGAAAATAGAAAATTCTGATAAAGAAACCATGAGCCTTTGCCACAGCCTCTGATTTTCTAATTGCTATATCAGGATTCATTATTGATATTTCAAATTATACGAATATCAATTAATCTAAGTTTGAAATAACAAAGGTTTGATACATCATCAGTTTATGAGTTTGTGGCATAGGCTCAGTTCCTTTTCTCATGACTGCCTTGATATTTTTCATAAATTAATGTAATGGTTTCTAAAAAACGAAGGAAGTTTTGACAATATTATTTTTAAAAGTTGTTCTTTGAGCTCACATTTTAACAACAAAGGATGAAAATTTAATGACGACCTGAAAAGTTTTAATTTCAAATTTAACTATCTGAATGTTGACTTTGGTCTGTGAAATTAAAAAATGCCTAATTTATTTGCATTTTTAGTGCACAGTTGCCTTTCAAATTGCAAATAAACTCTAATATTAAGAGTTTGTGTTTCATTTCTTTAGACAATCAAGTTTCTTTGGGTTTTAGGAAACTCTATAAAAGTTAAAAATAATGCGAAGTTTGATCTTCTTTAAGTTTGAATTTTTGAAGTTACGTGAAATGATGGCTTTGACCGAAGATATTTGAGCCCATGCAAACGAAACAAAACCGATGGCAGGTCGTTATAAAGAACATATTCTCAATAACTGGTACAAAGGAATTGAGTTTTTGCCACAAACTCTAATCTTCTAATCCCAATATCTTTGCAACCTGATGGCGCAAACCTTTGATTTTTCAAACTTAGATTATTTTATCTATAAGTATTAATAGTTTGAAATATCTAAGGTCTACGACATTGGGTTACAAAGATATAGAGATTAGAAAATCAGAGTTTGTGGCAAAAACTCAAGTCCTTAATACTAAAAGTTAAAAAAATACAAACTGTGTAGTGTGTAAACTAGAAGAAATTATAGGTAAGATTAAGAAATGCATAAAAAATATCAATGATATACACGTACATTATAATAATAAATATAGCATAAATCAGTTTCAAAGTTATGATAATCTTTGATAACGTGTTTATCCTCGGAAATCTCGACAAAGGGTCATCTAAACCCCCCCCCCCTTTTTCAAGAGTACACACATTTACTTTCGACCTCTCCGAGATCCCCAAAACTTGTTTGTATTTCATTTAAGTATAATTACATCGTATAAAAAATACCTTAAAATCTCACTTTTGCCCTTAACTAAAAAAGTTTCATTAAAAAGCTTTAATCAATACTGCCTTCAGTGTAAATATATATCTGTTATCATAATTTATAAAACAATATGTATCGATCCTATGAAAATATAGATATTTTTTAAGAAACTTTTCCATCTCTATTTTTCTTTCCTTGAAGCTTATTAAGAGAGATTGTCTGGGGGGGAGGGGGACGTTTGGCGCCCCCCCCCTATAGTTTTTTGTCCTAGCACTCTCATTTTTGACACTATCATCGGAAATTTTGTGACTTTTAATGAATAGTAATTTAAAGGATTATTTTTTTTATTTAATGCATAGGGTTGGGTACAGTGCGGAAAAAGTCCGGTCTTTGAAAAAGAAAATCTAAAATTTTGACTAAATTGCTTCATATCTAAAAACTATATTTCTGAAAAGCCCTTGAAAAATGTATATAGAAACATGTGTCACACTTTCATATTTGTGTAACAAAAAAATATGTTTTTCCTTTTTTTACCCTTATTGGTCTAATTTTTTTTTCAATAAGCTGTCCTTGGCAAATTGGGCTATGCACATGCATTTCAACCCTTTAAAGCCTTTTCTAGGGGGGGAGGCAAACGCCCCCCACCCCCGGCTATACATAGATTCAGACCCCATAGCCTGTATAAGGTTAACCCGTGAAAATTACATAAACAATTTATTAACACTTGTAATGTAATATAGAAGTGTGTTTATGATCGAATAGTAAAAAGGTATCAATATTTTATAAAAAAAGGGGTTTTAAAGGGGAGTGCACAATGTTGCTAAGTGGTGGTCACAAAAATTTTTACTTGCCAAATGTGCCCCCCCCCCCCCTACAGAAATGCTCTCGTACGCCACAATATATACATTTATCATACAAACTGAAATTTGTGAATACATATTAAATACAATACATATCAATTTAAAAGATTAAATTAAAACATAATGATGAAAATTAATTATCTAAAGAAATTGGAAAAATTGATGCTATCTCATTTGGACTACTGCCGTTTGAACTATTGTTCATTTCAACTACTGCACGTGGGATCACGTGAGTAGTTTAAATGAACAATAGTTCAAACGAGTAAATGTATTGCTCATTTGAACTATTTTTTAGTTCATTTGAACTATTTTCATTTGAACTATTAAAATATTAAATTATAATGAAATAAACAAAAATAGTTCAAATGAATAAAAAAAATAGTTCAAATGAACAAAAAAATAGTTCAAATGAACATAAATAGTTCAAATGGACAAAAAAAATAGTTCAAATATACAAAAAATAGTTCAAATGAATAAAAAAATAGTTTAAATGGACAAAAAAATAGTTCAAATGAAAAAAAATAGTTCAAATGAATAAAAAATTAAGTTCAAATGAATAAAAAAAATAGTTCAAATGAACAAAAAAATAGTTCAAATGAACATAAATAGTTCAAATGGACAAAAAAAAATAGTTCAAATATACAAAAAAATAGTTCAAATGAATAAAAAAATAGTTTAAATGGACAAAAAAATAGTTCAAATGCACTTAACAGCTAACCTAACCTAGCCTATTTTTTTGTCCATTTGAACTATTTTTTAGTCCATTTAAACTATTTTTTTTTCATTTGAACTATTTTTTTTTCATTTGAACTATTTCATTTGAACTATTTTCATGTTCATTTGAACTATTTTTATGTTCATTTGAACTATTATGTTCATTCTGTGTAATGTTTATCTAATTAATTGTCATGAATATAACTTTATGAAGATTATAAAAAAAATTTTAAAACTGCAAATATGGGGTAGAAAAATAGTTAAAATGAGCAAGAAATGCGTTGATTTAAACTACAGGATATGACGTCATGTCAGTAGTTCAAATGAACAATAGTTCAAACGAACAATAGTTCAAACGTACCATAGTTCAAACGGAAGTAGTTAAAATGAGAATTCACCGAAAAATTTCAAAAATCAACATATTGAAGACGATTAGAAATATCACAGCATGCCCCGTAGTATTCTTACGTTTATTTCTGTTCACAACGCCTCGTGTAAAGCAGTTGTACTTGTATTACCCCCTCCCCTCTCCCCCCGCTAAGTATCCAATACATTGTGCCCATCTTTTGCCTGCATTCGAGGCATGTGGTGAAAAACAAAATTTTCAATATATATTATCCTAACCAATTATCTAGTATTGAATAATTTTTAATTAAACGGACAGTGCAAACATTTTATAATTCCAGGTGAAAATGTTTTCTGTCGATGAAGATTGAAGAATTGAATGAAAGCATGGATGAACTAAAGCGAGCCCATGAGTTGGTGGGGCTCCTAGTTACACCCACCACCGGTTCTACAGGCAAACAATATTCAAATATTAAACTGTGGTAATTTCCTAGTATACGATTATGTTTCTTAACTTAACCTAACCCGTGGCCGCAGCGCTCGGATCCTAGAGAACGATTTTTGGATATGTTAAATCCTAGTTTAATTTGAGAATATTGTGTATTAAGATCTGGAGCAATCTTTTCTTCAAGGTTTGATCAAGGAGAAAACCCTCGAATATTCCAAGGTATAAAATTCTTTTTAATTGCGTGTTCCAATCTAACCTTTTTATTTAATTTATAAAGTTTCTCATTTTTCCATTTGCATTAAAAGATTAGAGTTAATTTGTGGAAATGTCTTTTGTTTGTTCACAAAATCATTTTATCCAACGTAAAATCATCGTAAAAAAATATTTAAAATATGCGCATCCTACTAAATTGAAGAAAACAAAATTATTTCAAAGTAGGTTGGGGGGGGGATATGTATTTATTTTTTTGAAGCTACAGAACTACTCGCTAAGGATGACTCTTAAAACGACTTGTATTTCTTAATATATGGACTTATATNAATTCTTCAATTGATGATTTGGGAAAACAAAATGAACGTCAGATGGCAACTTAGGACATTCTCTTTGATACCATTTACCTTAAAATTGATTTTTTGATACTATTTAATTTATATTCCCCAATGTAATGAAGAAAAAAACCGCAATAAAAGCATGTTGTCTGGGAACTAAAAAATTTCATAAGGGGAAGGAAACTATTTTTTCGAGAAAATATCCCCCTGTCAGGAAAAGATAATTAATTTTACCCTGTTAACCACTGCTGAGGATCCATTTAATTTGATGCGGATCTGGATCCTGGATCCGCACTGGAAAAAAATGGATCCTGATCCATTTCATTTCTTTAAGAATTATTGACTTTTTTAACAAAAATTAATTTTCAAATTATTCGTTAAATTTTTTTCTCGCTTATTTTATCCTTAAACTTGATGAACTATGAGGAAATTTTATTATCTCTCTTTTTTTTTAGGAGTAAAAAAGTTTTTTTTGCAGTTTTTATTTGATATTTTTCCCCGTGGATCCGGATCCATGAATCCGCATATTTATGCGGATCCGGATCCAGGAAGCCAAAATCTTACGGATCCGGATTCTAAGCATTGCTGTTAACATAATGTTTTCTAGGCAGTGGATGGATCCCTGAAGTTAAGTGGAGATGTTGGGTTTGATTATGTTAGATGCTGCGCTAATGCGCTGGTCAACCTTAAGTTCCAGCTTATTCACGCACTGCAGGCAGACACTCATCAAGACAACAAAAGTAAGTTTTTAATACCTTTGGTTGAAATTAGCTTTGGTTTCATTTTAATTCGGACCGGGTCTCTCATAAATTCAAATAGGGCTCTTTTTCAGGTGGTAAAATTTGTGAGATATTCGATACGTTAGAATTTTTTTTTTCTTTTTTGCGAAGTTTTTAGATCAGGGATTCATCTAGGATCAATACCAAAACTATCAACATTTTTTAGGGACTAAATTGATGTCACTTTAAATATCCTCGTTTATAAAATCTTGAAATAATTAAACCCTTTAAAGACCGGAGGGTCTAAATCAATAAATAGTCCCCCCCCCCCCCCGAAGAAGTGTTAGTGTTAAGGTATAGGGTTACAATGCCTTAGCCCAATTTTCCCAGGTTTTTAAGGCCTCAAAAAAATGCCCAAAAAAGTGCCGTAAAATGTAATAAATATTATTCATACAATTGTCATCAAATCTCTTGAATTAAATGTATATTTTGATCGATAATTTGCCACTTGAAAATTGTAAAATGAATCGCTTTGACTTGTCTTCTCCATGCAAGAATAAAACTATTAATATTTCTCCAGATATTGGACTAGAGGCGGATGCTCTAAGTATATCCCAGCAGAAATCTGTCTCCTCCTTGCTAGAGATGATTCTAGCTCTGGGTGTTCTACCCAACATGCTCCAGGGGGTTGGATCTCCTCTACACAAACGTTCTCAGTTTCTACAGTTACTGCTACGGGTAGGTTTTATAGAAATATTCAGTGACTAGACTTAAGGACTGTTTTGTGCGTGTTTGTGTGTGTTCGTTTTCTGTCTACAAGGCTTGGCATGGTCAGGGCAGGAGGGCCGGGCCTGGGAAATCATTTTTTTTGTATACTTCTTTTTTGGAAATAATTTCTTAATTGCGTTAAAAAAAATGCTGTCGATCGGTACCGTCTTCATTTTAAATTTAAGTTTTTTATCCACTTCTTGTACTCACACTTTCCACTCCATGATCCACTATATTTGATTTTCATATCATTATTGATTTCTATTTTCAACAGGAGCTGCCGGAGAGAAGTATACTGGAGAAATATAAACAGCTCGTATACTCCCTGGATACTCTTCTTGATCTGAGTAAACACAGATCCTTCTCTACCCTAGTTCTAACCAAGCATATTGCTGATATAGTCGGAGCATTGGTGCAGATATCCTTCGCTCCTCTTATTAAACCAGCAGAAGAGGATCAGAAAGAAACCGCTGAAAACGTGTCTCCGTCAGATCTTCCAGATGTTGTGAATGACGTGACAAATAAATTCATCATGACTCCTGATTTGTTTGTCAGGTTAAGCGAAGATCAGGCAAGGTTTAGAAAAGAGTTGGAGCGTATCCTAGAGCGAAGTTATCAACCTAACCTAGTAAAAAATCTACTAGTTCTCCAAGGTAGCTCTAAGGAAAGCAAGGAAGGAGGAATCTCATCTCCACGTTGGTTCTCAAAGAAGATATCTGAACTTCTCACGGAAAGGCTTCTAGGTAAGTCCGGAGTTATTAATGTTATCCGTGGTGTTCTGGATATAGGAGGGGAGAGTATGGACTGGCAGAAAATAAGTTTAGTGGCTGGAGTCCTAGGTAATCCACCCAAAGGAAGTTACTCTTCAACTGAGAACTACTATCAGCTAATCTGTCCTCAAATACTTGATTTACTGAATCATGAAGACAAGGTTTATCAAATGATTGCTTGTGCTTCTATTAAGACAGTCGCGGAGCGTTCTTTGATCCTATCTCGGAGATATCTTCTCGACTTTCTCATGGATCCGTTCACCAGACTAACTGAGTCGGAAGAGAAAGGTTTGGAAGTTACAGAACTAGAATTGGATGACTGTCTCAAATCTTTATTCAAGATTTTCGTCATCGGCAACGATCCGTGTCTCATGTTCCTGATGCACCTTGAGCCTATAATCTTACTACTCCTGGAGCTTCACACTAAGATTGCGTTTTCTCCGAGTCATCTCCGGGATCCTGTCAAACAGATTTTACTCCGATATCTCAAACATCTAGACACCAGCACTGCTGTTAATGTTCTCAGAGCTTTCATTCTTTGTGAGATTCCGTCCGACGGAAAGTCTAGGATGAAACTATTACACAAGGAACTCATCTTTGTGTTGGGAGATGAGGGCGGAGTGAGGACGGAACGCAGGGTTGAATCCGCTCAGAGCTTCACCGTTCTAGATGACGAGAAATCTATAATACTGCAGGTTAGTTTTAATATTAATTTTATCTGATCAAAAGTTATAGATTATTTTATTTCTTTTTCTTTTAAATCTCATTTCTAAAGTGTTCGGATTTTTAGCTGTGAAAATTATAAATTTTGTTTTGTTCCAGTCAAATGAATTTTATAGCCGTATTTTTTATTAACGGGGGCGGATGAAATTTATGACCATATTTATCCAAGAATGGCTAGGTATTTGAACCTTAGAGGGTGTTACTTTAATATTCGACAAGTATATTAAAGGTTAAATAAATTTTGATTACCTTAACCCCATTCTTTTTTCTTAAATAATAAATTTACCGAAAAAAAAATTTCAGGATATGCTAGATGAGCTGAAGGATCGCAAACTCAAGGTGGATTTCTACCTCAAGCTCATGTCGGATCTAACTGGTATTGTTGGTGAGTCTGAAACTGAACCTGAGCTACCTGAACCTATACCTGGAGAAGATCTGGAAACCCAGCTGCACGAGCTGGAGTCTACTCTAGACTCTGCTATGCATCGGATGCGGAGAAACTTAATGGTGATTCGTCTTCTTGGACTGCTCTCCGAGGACCAGGGACTACAGGACGATCTTCTCAAGGAAACCAGCAGGTTTGTCTCATTAGTTTAAAAGCCGAAAGTTTGATTTGATTTGGATATTTTGCTGCCTTCATCTGGATCTAAGGAGTATATAATAAACCAAAACCTGCTAAAAAAACTAAAAAATTAAGCGAAAATTTTGCGTGTGAAATTTCAGATTTCGAATTTGTAGCTTGTTTAAGGAATTGTCTAATGATCACGACCTGGGCTCCAACCTTATTTTCAGGGCGGATCCAGGATACGGATTCGCATCCAAATGAAATGTAAGTAGTACTTAAAAATGTCGCGGTATTACGACCATTTTGTTGCAGGATGATTTTGTTTATCGGAGCAACACTGAAACGAGGCGCCATGATGGTAGGAACCGGTTCTACTCCTGAAACCCTGGTGGCGCAGAGTTTAAATATGGCGCTATCTCTGCTCTCTCTTCACCTAACCCAGGCTAGTGTTAGTACTGAGGACTGGGTGAGGATGCAGGATTATGTTTCTGATCTTCAAGTTCTCTCATGCTACCCGGATACAAGAGTTGCCAGGTTAGATCAGAGTAATAATTGCCTCAAAATGTGGATTTGTGCTATTTTCCAAACAAATTATGTTAAATGATAAATCATTCTTCGAGCATTATTTATATTAATTTTTTTTCACAAAGTAGAACAGAAAGCCAAAACTTGTCATTTGCTTTATAATCGTCTTCTACTCCTCTAATCTTCAAAATGAATACCCCTCTTAACTTGGGAAAAGGCAAATCTTTTGTTTTTATTTTATGAGAGGGGGGGGGGCGGGGGAGGTGAATTTAATTTTTGGCCCTGTTAACATTTAGAGAAATGTATTCTTATAGATGTCAAATTTCTAATTTATAATTGGCAGTTTCTGTTTATTTTAATAGCATAAATTTATTGCTTTATTTAAATGTTTTTCTCCCGTTTTTAACTTATCTTTAATTCAGGATTGCTGAGCAGTTGCACCGCCTGGTGGCAACACATGGAACTATTATCACGGAAACAAACAACATCAAGAACCAGACTAAACGTATTGAGGAAGAAACTGCCAAGATAAAACTTAAAACACAAGAGATGAAGGGAATACAAAAGGAATCTGAGAACAAGCAGATGGATGAGAAGAAAAAAATGATAAAGGAGAAAGCAGAAGAGCTTAAAAAAGCGAAAGAGAGACGAAGGCAAGGATTGAAGGAAGAAGAAAAAGAGTTAAAGATAATGGAGGATAAAAGGGGAATGAGTGCGTATCAGTGTTCACTTTATGATATTGGTGACCCGGTGCTTCCTGTGCGTGGGCACGGATTGATTGAACTGTGCGGATTGGTGGAGAGGAAGGACAGAGAGACCTTAGAGAACATAAACAAGGTCGGAGAACTGTTCTCTGTGAGCCTGGAGGACGAGGATACGTATATCTATCTATCAGGGATAAACGGTTTAGTTGCTACAGCCAGGTTCAATACGGAGCTAGTCCTGGATACTCTGACAAGGGAGTACACCACGGTAACTCAGCGAACCCACCTGGAGGACCTTGTCGAGGTTAGGACTAAGATTGGCGAGGCCCTGGTCCGTGTCACCAAGGAGTTGGGAGATGTGACCCCAAAATATAAGAATATTCTTCTCAATGCGTTCTTCTCCGCCGCTAGCGATCCGGATGAGTTGGTTCGAGCCTCCAGTTTATCCAACCTTGGAGAAGTGTGTCGGAACCTGAGGTTCAGCCTCGGTCCTATTACAGGCGAGCTCCTGGTCTACCTGGAGGCCTCCTCTAGGGATGCTAGTGCTCAGGTGAGAAGAGCTGCTGCCCTGGTTCTACACATGGTACTGGAGGGACTGGGTAGAGATGTTTTTACTGTTCTAGAATCCGGGATCAGAGATATTCACAGGTACTCAATATTTTATAGATGTTCATTTAACATTTGTATCGGGGAACTTAAAGGTACTGTTGTGATATCAAGTGATCCTCCATTAAAAAAGGGACATTCCCGATTCACAACGGTATACTTCAATTAATGCCTTTTTTACTCAATGAGGAAGATCGTTGTTTTTCTAGCTCTTAATTGATACATTTTAACTACGGTGGTAGGCGATTATATCATTTCAATGAAGGCTACTTTCAACTTTAATTTTGATTTATATGAAGCTTTTAAACAACAAAGTAGGAAACCAAGAGAAGTTTTCAATTAAGAAGCTTCTCTTTAATTTTATGGTAACTTTAAATTAGAAAAAAAACTGTTCACAATGAAAACGTGAATAAAAAAGTCGTCTTGATTATATTGATATTATCCCCTACCACCGTATGTTCTGAGAAAGAAATTATTTTATTCCGCTATCAGCTTCTTAAGGGTACCTTTGTAAATCGGACGCCACTCTAATAATTAAATTCATTAAAACTGTGTTATTTGTCCCTTCTAGTGTTATTTCAAGTGCCAAATTATATATCTTCTGCGTTTATTAATGTTAACAACTATTTTATCCAGGAGCCTACGTCTAAGACTGGGAGTGGAAACTGATGATGTAGCGCTGATTCATCTAAACCTGGCTTTGGATCAAATAGATCAGATTGTTCGGGATCTATTCACAGCAGCAGCTCATCCTCAGCAGAAGATATTTGTTATTGATTAATCTTATCTTGTTATACGGTAATACTCAGTTTTTCTCCGACCGCCATTTATTTTCTTTGAATCTCAGATTATATTTCTAGTGCCTTAAACCAAAGTTGTCTTCCACTTGTTAACGCGACGAAAAAAACCATTTTTTAAAATTCTTTTTTTATAATCTTCAAATGTTTAAGTTGTAGCTATTTATTTAAGTAACTTGTAAGATGGGTATATATTTAATAAATGTTTCGACTAATTAAAGAGGTTATATTTCTTAAAAAGGTTTGAAAATTTGTTGGCTTCAATTTTAAATTTCCTAAGCAAAAGTCATAAATGATATTTTTGGGATGCGTTATGAAATTTTATAATGAACTTTTTTTCTTAGCTTCTATGAATGCTCCGACCTCTATTGTATACAAATTTATCTATTCTAGTCAACACTCTGTTCCAGACAGAATGGACGCAGCCCTTATAGCGGAGAGGGAGGCCTTCAAGCGGCGGGCTATGGCAGTCCCCACCGTGGAGAACAAGAAGAAGAAGACCGAGGATTCGAAGAAGTCTTCAGGATCTATGAAACCTCCAAAGGGAGGATCCTTCAAATCATTCGGAGCAGGATCTCAATACAAATTCGGAGTTCTAGGTATTATATACTGCTTAATCTGAAAGGGAGTGAACACACAATTTCAATTGACTCCATATATTAAGGTCCATGTCTAATCACAATGGTACCTTTTAAAGTTTTCTCAGGTTATGAAGGAATGAGAATTCTTAATTTTCAGCATAAAAATTGAGTTTGTTGAATTATGGCTGCTGATTTCTGCTTATAAATCATGGATTTAAATGTCAATTAGAAAAAATCGCACATTACATTACTCAATAGGATAAAGAATTAAAAGTAGTTGTGAACCGGTCATGCTCCTCTCAATATGACAAACCACTTAAAAGTACGTCAATGGTCCTTAAAATCTTTTGGTCTATTCTTTTTAAGTCTTACCAGTGCTCAGGATCCAATTTAATTTTGATATGTATCCGGATACGGATTCTGGATCCGCACTGGATTCGGATCCAGGTCATTTCTGTAAGATATACGGAATTTTGTTTAACAAATTAATGTTCAAATTTTTGTTCAATTTTTTTCGTTTATTTTTATCCTAAAACTTGAACCATTCAGAAATGATAAATTTTTATAATCTCATTTTTTCAAACGTTCAGATTTGGGTTTATGGAGTAAAAAATTTTTTTTTTTCAGTTTTGGTTTTTATTTTACCTTTTGGATCCGGATCCGTATATCTTCATATTTTTGCGGATCCAGATCCAGGAAGCCAAAATCTTGTGGATCTAACGGATCCGGATCCTAAGCACTGCTTAAAATAAAAACTTTTATTCCAGCTAAAATCGTACGACACATGAAGCATCGCCACATGGAGGGAGAGGACCATCCTTTGACCCTGGACGAAATTTTGGACGAGACGAATCAATTGGATATTTCAGGAGCAACCAAGCAGTGGTTAATGTTGGAAGCTTTAGGTACAATATTTTTTCTTTTTTCCCTGCGTAAAATATAAGTTTTTTTTTGGCAAAAAGAAATTCTTTGCAAGCTTGCGAAGGAACCAAATTTATTTAAATTTGTGGAACGGCGTTAACATTATGAACGTTTTCTAAAAAAAAATATTTTAGTTTGAAAGAATTTTATGAAGTTATAATTGAATGTGGAGAAAAAGGTTGTGACTATTGACCATAGTGACCGCAAGGGTGAGTTGTTCCCCCGGTCTGATTTTTCTTTTTTCATTAGTTAGATATATGATATATATCAGTAAATATAATTTATACCATTAAGAACTTCTTGGAGGTTGGAAAAAGTATGGAGTAAGTTGTTTGAAAATGTTTAATTCAGAAGTATTTTCTTCCATCAAATTGCTTTGAATTTTCAGTAAAATGTGCGAAATTTCGGGTAAAAATCCGCGAAATTGTCAAAATGTTGAACTGTGTAAGCATAAAACAGGTGCATTATAGGTCACAATTAAGTTAGAAGACTCTGAATCTGAAAGATTACTTCTGCGATTGAAACCGAAATCAAATGCTTCAATTGGAATCAGTTTAGTGTAGAAGCAGCTAACTATTCGATACTTAGATACTTCTATGTTGACTCCTAGAAATCCAGGTAGGATTATAACAGGAGCTACAGTGTGGTCCTATAAAGCATCTTTGGTTTAAATGATGGTGTCCAATCCATCCTTGAATGATTTTACAGTCTTGCTCTCTTTCAGTTCAGTTGGCAATCTATTCCAGGGTTCAATAACCCTGATTGAGAAGAAGTTGCTCCTTATTTCAGGCCTTGCTTGCCTCTTAACTAGGTTCAAATGATAAGCAGATTGTCTTGTTCGTCTTGAAGGCTCATTCCCAACAGTTTCAAACCATAAACTGCTATCCACACGGTCAAACCCCTTGAGAATCTTAAATGTTTGGATCATATCAAATCTTCTCCGTCTGGTTTCAAGGGTTTGCAGACCTAGCTCCTTAAGTTTTTCTTGATAGTTCCTCCCTTTCAGACCGGAAACCATCCCTACCATTCTTATCTGTATCTTTTCTAAGAGTTCTATATCACCTTGAGTCCAGGGTGTCCAGACAGGAACTGCAAATTCTAGATGTGGCCTAATATATTGTTTGTAGAGTCTCACAAAAATATGCCTGTCTCTATAGGTGAAAGCCCGTGTGATCTGGCCAAGAACATTTCTGGCTTTTTTTGCTTCCTCTTTACATTGTAGTCCAGGTCGCAAGTTTTTTTGGGTAATAATTCCAAGATCAGTTTAATGATCAACAACTGTGAGATCAGCCCCCCTCATGTTGTAGACATGCTCAGTGTTGTTTCTCCCTATGTGAAGAACCTTGCACTTGGCTGTGTTGAAAGCCATGCCCCAAGTGTCTGCCCAGACCACCAGTTTATCAAGTGCTTCCTGAATATGATGATGATCTTCCTGTTGATGACTCAGTTTTGTGTCGTCGGCAAATTTACTAATTATCATATGGTTATCCGTGCAACCATCAATATCATTGATAAAAACGATGAATGCAAGTGGGCCAAGAACCGATCCCTGAGGAGAAACTTAATGGTGATTNAATGTTTTTAACAGGGAAAGCTGGGTTTCTTAAGCTAGTGGAAACAAATATTGTAATCTTATTTTAAGGGAATCCTGCTGTTTTTCGCGGATTTTTAATTTTCAAAAAATCCAAGAAATTCCAGTCCCCCAGAAGTTCTAAATTGTAAAAATGATATGATTTATACTAACATATATCTAACTAATCTTGAAATAAAAAATCAGACCCGGGGAAATACTTACCTTGGCGGTCACTCTGGTCAACAGTGCATGAAGTATCTTCTTTTGAATATTATCTTTAACTCTACGGTTTAGTTCTAGGTAAATTGAATGAATTGTTATTATTCAGGAAGTAACCCAAAGATCGAGGTCACGGAGGACCAGAGATATCAGTTTAAACCTCCGTTCAAGATCCGGAATAAGAATGCTCTCCTGAAGTTATTGAAGAAAAGAGATCTCAACGGCGAAGGAGGAATTATGTACGATGATGTTTGTGAGAGTTTACCCAAAGCAGAAAAAATTGTTCAGACGCTGACAGGAGACGGAAAACTTGTACAGGTATTTTAAACATCGGGAATGGGGGGAGGGGGCTTCCAAAAAAATGCCAAATATTTTAACTAGAAGGATTAAATTATTTACTTATGTTTACTAGATCATCAAAACTAGGTTAATGGTCATTTATAAGGACACAACATTAACTTCAGTTTTCTAATTTTTCTTTTTCTATTTAACACGAATTTTTATTGCGGATCTTTTGGCATTCATGTCTTACTTGGATGTGTTGCCCTTCTTGATCTGAACCTATTTTAGATCTTACGACCCTGTGATAAGAAGAAAGTATTATTCTACCACGATCATTCAACAGATATAGAACTAGAAGGAGAATTCATTAAACAGGTTATTTACCTGTTAACGAGTGAGGGATACATATTTTCATGAAAAATCATCCTAAAATTTTATATTTTTCTGCGTTGTTGATAATTTTTAATGATTTTATTTGCAAAATTAGGGGAAACCTAAGATTTTAGGGGGTGAAATGAATTTTTGGGCACGCACTTTTTGAACTGGTAAAACTTCAATTTTCTCAACGTTGTAATGTCTGATGCCTAATGGCACCCTTTAGACCTGTGTTAGTATTGTTTTTCATAAAATTCAATATTCTCTTTATTCTATATTAATCTGTATTGGAAGGAAGTTCAGGAAATCCAGGAAATTATTTGATTTTCTTTATCAGAATCTGAAATGGTTGAAGGGTACCGTTGGTAACATTGCATGTCAAGCTTTCTATTGAGGAGTACTTATGTCTACAGTCCCCTGTAAACATAATAAATTAATTGATATCAAAAAGTTATCTAGTTTTTCGGAGATCTTAGCTTGTGAAGGTTTTAGTAATAAATTAATTTTGTTTATTTGGTAGTGGAGATCTGTATCGGTTGATGGACTAGATATGGCAAAGATTGAAAGTTATCTCGACAAACAAGGAATTCGATCCATGCAGGTAGGTCTTTTGTACTATGAACAAGAAAGGACAGATAAGACGGATTTAGACATAGACAGGGGTTAGTAACAGGGCTTAGTCAGGACAGGGCATATCCAGGGACAATACTTGTCCAGGGACAGAACTTGACCAGGGACAGAACTTGACCAGGATCATAACTTATCCAGGATCAGAACTTGACCAGGATCAGAACTTGACCAGGAACAGAACTTGACCAGGGACAATACTTGACCAGGGACAGAACTTGACCAGGATCAGGACTTAATCAGGATCAGAACTTAACCAGGATCAGAACTTGACCAAGGACAGAACTTGACCAGAGACAGGACTTATCCAGAGACAGGACTTATCCAGGGACAGGACTTATCCAGGGACAGGACTTATCCAGAGACAGGACCTATTCAGAGACAGGACTTATCCAGGGACAGGACTTATCCAGGGACAGGACTTATCCAGGGACAGGACTAATTCAGGGACAGGACTTATTCAGGGACAGGACTTATTTAAGGACAGGACTTATTTAGGGACAGGACTTATTTAGGGACAGGACTTATTAAGGGACAGGACTTATTCAGGGACAGGACTTATTCAGGGACAGGACTTATTCAGGGACAGGACTTATTCAGGGACAGGACTTATTCAGGGACAGGACTTATTCAGGAACAGGACTTATTCAGGAACAGGACTTATTCAGGAACAGGACTTATTCAGAGACATGGCATTTCCAGGGACAGGACTTGTCCAGGGACAGGATTTATCTAGTGACAGGACTTAACCAGGAACAGGATTTATCCAGGGACAGGACTTCTCAATTATCAAGGGACATGAATCGTATTCAGTAAAACAGGGCCAATATTAATTATATCCTATCCTGTAGGACCAAGGAGCGAAGAGGGTAACAATGCCTAAGAGAAAGAGAGGACAAATGAACCGGAAGAAGAGAGGGCCAAAGGACAACGAGCATCTAGCGGACGTCCTGGAGGACTACAGTGAGATGTCCGCGAGCAAAGCGGACCGTTAATATTAAAATTCCTGCTTTATTCATTACGTCATTAAATTGTATAGATGTATATAGTAGTTTGTCTTTACTTTGTGGAACTTTCGATTCAAAACGTCTCAAATCAAATTAAGAAGCCAGGGATTGTCCAATACCTTCCTGATGTGACCGGGGTATGCCACCATAATCCCTTCCAAATCAAGGATTTTCTGCCTAGCGTTGGAATCTTGACCAAATTTGATCCATGATACCGGCCCCCTTCCCCGTGTATATTCCATTTTATTTTGCTTTATTGTAAATAAGTTGGTCTGACCGGGGTATACCAATCCCTTCCAAATCAAGGATGTTAAGCTTGACACAGTTTAAGTCTGACGTCGGACTCACGAATCAAATTTGAGCCATGATAGCGGTCTGTACTCATTCCCTCGGTTTCTATGGATGTAAATTTAATTTTGTTTTGCTTCTAGTGCATAAGTTTGTCAAACATGATTCAGTATCTATAGTTGAATCCAGGGATTTGTATATATCCCGTCCTAATATCATATCTGTGATAAATAATTAGTACATTGTTTTGTAAATAATCTGCAATTAATTATTATTGTTTTAATGTTTAATTTCAGATCTTCTTGTAAAGTGTTAGACAATGCGTGCTAAGTGGAGAAAGAAGCGTATGCGCAGGTTCGAGTTTTAAATTTTCATTAATAGATGGACATACGATTAAAGTTAACGAACAGAAATTTAAGATAACTAACAAATTTGAGATTATAAACATAAAATTATGATAATAAGGTTACGAACATAAGGTTAAGATTATGAACATAAAATTAAGATTACGTACATATAATTAAGATTACGAACATATAATTATGATTGAGATAAGATAATAAAAAGATCATGAAAGATCCCTAACTTGGGATCCCCAGACCGTTAAGATTACAAACACAAAATTCAGATTACAAACAGAACGTTAAGATTACGAACAGAACGCTAAGATTATGAACATTAAAATAAAATAACCAACATAAATTATGATTACAAACAGAACGTTAAGATTACAAACATGAAATTAAGATTACGAACATAAAATTATGATACGAACAGAACGTTAAGTTAACTAACAGAAAACATAAGGTTAAGATTACCAACATAAAATTATGATTACGAACAGAAAGTTAAGATCACGAACATAAGGTTAAGATTACAAGTATAAAATTAAAATTACAAACATAAAATTAAGATAAGTCTTCTCCCTAGGGTGTAAACCCCGTGGATACGTTGTTTCAACGGCTGGGAGCGCCGACCCCTATTTCATTGAATGATGGGTTGTCCTTTAATAATAATAATAATGAACATATTTTTACTATTTTTTAATTGGGATTGAATCTTTCTAGATTCTAAATTGCAAGTGTTGGAATAAATTTAGGACTGGAGGGGTGGGAAGAGAGAGAGATATGAGAGAGAGAGAGAAAGAGAGAGAGATATGAGAGAGAGAGAGATATGAGAGAGAGAGAGATATGAGAGAGAGAGAGATATGAGAGAGAGAGAGATATGAGAGGGTTGGATTGGAGTAATAGAATGGATTAAATCAGTTATTTAATTGGATTGAATTAATGGGTTGAATTAATTAATTGGATTGAATTAGATGACTCGTTTGGATTACATGGATTTAATTGAATTTTGTTCAGGCTAAAGAGGAAGAGGAGGAAGATGAGGGCAAGGTCCAAGTAGATCAATCTGTCGTGATCACTTCTGAAGCTGATGCCATCCTCAAGCTGATCATCATCCTCTAGCTGATCATCGTCCTCAAGCTGTTGAATGAAACCTATTGATGGTTGTGATTAATAATCGTTGAATGTTTCAGATTGTAAAAGTGAATAAGAATGAGAGCAAAGTGGCGTAAGAAGCGTATGCGCAGGTAGTTTTGATCGGCAGTTTTTTCTTGATCGAACTAGTATTTAAACTATTGGTTGACCCTAGAATAATGAAAATTAGAATTGGCGAAGAAAGTAAAAATTCTTCAGTTTTTTAGGTTTAAGTTTTAATTAGTTTTCTTTAGAGTTAAGTTTCAATTCACAAAGAATGTTAAAATTTCTAAATAAAAAAATTACTGATCGGGTCATACAGGGTTTCTCAATAACTATGGGAATTGAGATACGACTTGAAAATCATCTTCGATTTCTTAAATGATAAATGACAAAAAAATGTCAAAATAAAGACTCAACGTCTCGTGAGCTTTTGAAAATGTAGATTGCCTTCTTTATATCTTCAATCTTGACGGAGATATTGAACCATTGAAAGATTTCGTTGTGATTTTTAAGATGGACAGCTTTCTTAATATTCCGTCAATCTTGAAGCTGCAATTATGGTTTACCACATTTTGTAATTCCTAAGATTAGTTGTCTTAACTGGAGTGCTACAAAAAATGTGTTCACGTAGCATATCTTTAAACATGACCCTTCTTTTTATAAACAGATATTTTCCGATTCACAACGGTACCATCTCTAATACTTGTTAAAGTAACCTGCCGATTTCTGATTTCAGATAGTGGTTAAAGGGTACTGTTGTAAACCGGACAATTTACTCTTCTTAAAATGAAGGGTCACTTAACAAGTGACAATTGTCACCGAGTTCATAGATCATAATTTGAGTTTGTAATACAATGTTTTAATTTAGGCTAAAGAGGAAGAGGAGGAAGATGAGGGCAAGGTCCAAGTAGATAAGCTCCGTTCCAGACTGAAGTTGGATATCCGTTCTGGATATCTGGCTAAGCTCCGCTCCAGCCTGCAACTCTTCAATTCCACCGTCTGATTTCTAGAATTGTTTTATGATAACGAAATGACAAATTTCTGTTGCATTTAATTCTACTAAATTTCAGATTTGACGATCTCAGTTCACCGGACTGAGAGAAGAAGTTAAAATGAACGCCAAACTGTTGATCCCGGCTTGTCTTCTTGTTATCTTCGCCATGATCCCCTCCGGGTCCAGCATCCAGTGCCATCAGTGCTCCAGCTACACGGACGTCCACTGCGACGATCCGTTCTATTACGAGGACAACAAGGGAGTAGCAAAGACTACCGAATATCTGAAAGACTGCCCTAACGATGGTAAAGATTATTTCTGCAGGAAAATCTTCCAGAATGTTCGCGGGGATACCCGTGTAATTCGTAGCTGTGGTTGGGAGAAGCATGAGAAGGGAGATTGCTACTCCACCGTCCTTGAAGAGTACAATACTTATGTTTGCAGCTGTGACACGGACGGATGCAACTCCGGGTCCATGTTCAGCTTGAGCAGTCTAGCCGTCTTCTCAACCCTCTTAGTTGCTTTCATCATGCAGTAAACTTCTCTTGTTGTAAACTTTTATCGTGGAAACCTCTTTTGGGGTGTGTAATGTTACATTGATTTGGATTTCCTTCCCGAGACCAAATGGAATCTCAACCCTCCCTCTAGTACTTGACTGTTTCATTTTGAATCTTCAAAAAATTCATATTTTTAAAATTTGAGTTTCCATCCCTCTCGGCCCAGCCCCGTGTGTGGAGAACATTATACACCCCTTCAACTTTTTTATTTCACCAACATTTTGTCCTCATACTCAAAACCTTAACAATGCTCAAATTTCAAGATAGAAAGGAAATAATTTGGATTAATTTTTAATAAATTTCAGATTGTAGAAAAGGTTTGGGACAATGAGAGCAAAGTGGCGTAAGAAGCGTATGCGCAGGTATTTATAACTTAGTTCCTAAAGAACAAATTTTAAAGTGACTGTACGTGTAATTAAGTGACCCTCTATGCCAAAATGTCCTCTCTGATTTTCAACGGTACCTTTAAAAGCTTTTTTTAATCCAAGTATGAATTAGATATCAATGGTTTTGTTTCTTTTAACTGTTTCCTTTCATATACGGTTTCTCTGCGAAAGTGGTTGTGCATTCCTTGTTCATAAGAAACTATGGAGAAACTCGCAGGAATAAAATTTTTGAGTCAGTAAAACGACGATATCTTCTACTTTATTTATTTGATTAAAGGGTTAAAAGGTATCGTTGTGAATCTTTGCATGGAGGGTCCCTGTTAAAATTACGCTTGTGTGCAGTCCCTTAAAGGAATAGAAATTTTCATTATGTTATTCTGTTACAGGCTAAAGAGGAAGAGGAGGAAGATGAGGGCGAGGTCCAAGTAGGTTCCCTACCTATCCTGCTACTCAATCAGATTACGTTTAGAACCTACGGCAGAAGAAATCGATTGGAACTGGCGGAATCGGCTAAGTGCAGATGCTGATCTAGAAGCAGGGGAATCCGTGATTATTATATTTTTTTTGCGGATTTTAGTTGTTAAATTTAAATTAATTACGCAATTACAAACCTGTTTTTATTTCAGATAAAACACGGTGTGATTTATAATCACTTGTGAATTTTTAATCATCTTATCCAGTTATTACAATAAGGTAAAACAAACAAATAATTAACTGGAATGTCGTCTTTATATCCTTTTGTTTATTAGAATGATTGGAAACTTGAGTTCGCGCATCCAACAGCTGACCTTGTCCTGTTTCTCCTATCCCGCATCTTTAACAGATCCTAAAGATTTACAATTTTGTTGGCAAGGTGGCAGGTAGCAATTTTGATATTGCATCAGCCAAGAACTATTTCACAATTATTGCATCATCAGTTTTATAGCAAAGTGAAGAATGTCAACAAGACGAGCAAGGATAAAGGTTGCGCCCAACCTATCCAGCTCCAGGAGTAAAAATAGGACAGATAACCAAACATGTAAAGATTATGGAGTGAATGCTAAAATCGTACAAATTCAGCCTGTGATAAAGAATGGGATTACTACAAGAAATTGTCTTAAACCTCCTCTTGCGTTAACCCCACCCCCGTCTTTGCTCTATCAGACTAAAATTTTGACCCAAGAACCCCCTACACATCATGTGCTCAATCAGCCTCCTGCTAAACCTCTATTCCAACCTCAACTTATTACTCCGTCTGAACCCCCCAACCAGCCTGAACTGCAACCCCCCAGCCAGCCTGAACTCTCAGAACCCCCCATCCAGGACTCGCTCCCTGCAATTCAACCCTCTCTGGTAACACTCCTCACACCTCCCCCAACCCAACGCTCCACACTCGACCAAGAGACTGAACCTCCATCCTGTCCGCTCTCCCCAGAATCACAAACCACTGAGCTTTTATCCTCTAAATGTCCTCAGACTTCTGAAACCTCACCCTTGCCCGCTCATAAGCCTGTCTCTGTAAAGGAGGACGCTAAATCTAGTTCTACAGGAACATTTGTTAACGGAAAATATATCAGTAAGGAAACTGTAAAAGAAAATAAGGAAGTCGCCACCCTGAAACCTGTGAACAGCCCTCAACAAAATGGTAAACCTCCCAGTGCCACAATGAGGAAGTTTCTTGGAAGAAACAAGTTTAAACCCAATCTTTTCACGCGAGCAAAACCTACAATTGAAGATGCAACTCGAAGAACTAGAAAATCATCAGTTGGAGACTCTTCTGAATCTAACCATGTACTCGGGACCAGAAAAATCTCCACAGGAGAGAACAACAACGAACCTGAGACAAGATGTCGTAAGGTTTCATTCTCCGACAGGGACGAAGTATACGTCGAACCAAGACCAGCTCTATCGAAACTTAACAGGAAACAACTGCGTTCAACCTCTGGGTCAAGTTCAGGAGACGAAATAAATTCTCAACCTAATGCAGAAATTACCCCTGAGGTTTTAAGTCCTGTTCAGAAATCAAGAACGCGACGTATTTCAGAATCCCGTCAACCCTTGGACAAACTCAATCTTGGACTGAAAAGAAGAAAGGTAGAGTCGAAACGTAGATTTTCTCAAGGAGTACCGGGCCGGCATAAAATGACAATGTTCGATCTGATCTACTACAACCCTGACAATGGGACGGAGATGGTATGTGACGAAGCTGAACCTACTGAATGTATATCTCGTAAAATTGATCTCAACGAGAGTGTGGATAATCCTGAACCTGAGAAAGATGAAGAGGATTCCCTCCCTGTACCCCAAGTCAAGGTTGGGATTAACGGTGAGATAATACTTGATGAATCCAGTACTGTACTGGAAACTACAGCAGCTAAACGTGCTAAGGAGGATTTAAGTCAGATCCCTCTAGTGGTGGAAAACTGCAACAAGTTCACTAACTACGGAACCTGGTCTAAAAAGAGAAGATACAGTGACTGGAGTGAGAAGGAAACGTTTAGATTCTACCGAGCTTTGTCTATCGTTGGATCAGATTTCTCTATGATGGAATCTATGTTCAAGAAGAGAACAAGACAGGAGCTCAAACTCAAGTTTAAGAAGGAAGAGAAGGTGAACGGACAGCTCGTGGATAAATGTCTTAAACAGATGGGACAGTATATCGATATAGAAGACTTTATGGGAGAGGTAATATTTTATTTCAATTTATGTCTTAGCTTGATATATTTTCTTTTCTTAAAATTTCACGAGTTATATTTTAATTTGATATTTATTTAAATATTTCTTTATACCAAGACAACAACTTATGGTTACTTTAAAGCTTTCTTTTATTATGTTCTTTATTTTTTAATGGTTGAATTTCAGAGTTATGGAGTTACCACTATCCCACTATAGCAGTTGACCCAATAAATCTAAATGGCTAAATCCAATATTATTATTATTTTGTGCAGGATACTGAGGAGGAGGATGAGAAGGTTGACCGTCCTGAGCGTGGAAGGAAGAGGAAGGGAAGATTATCTGCCAGAAAGAAACATTCAACCCGAGGACATTATGAATCCTCCTCAGGTTAGTAAATAACCCTTATCATGGCAAATTTTGCCATACGCAGGGGTTTTAGCTTTTTAAATTTTGTTTTAAATGGTTAAATTTACCAATTTATAAACTAATTTTTAAGTAAAAGTATGGGAAATTTGGCGCTCGGGGTGGGGGAGTTAATTCTACTAAATGAATCCTCTTTTCCTAGCCTAAATCTTGTTAAGCATTCATTGGTATATTTCTAAAATCTATCACAATCCTTTCTTGTATTTTTTAACATGGTTGAAAACTGTCTTATTGTTAAGAAAATAAGTGACGTTTTGTGGAAGTTATTTGTGTTAAAAATATTAAAATGTTTAAGGTGGCGAGGAGGCCGATGTAAGTGAGACTAGTCGCTCCCCCGCCTCACGGACACGTGACAACAAGAATAAATCTCGCAAGAAGATAAAGGTTGACCCTAAACCTCTGAAATCTCCGCGTGTCGACCCTGTAGCAACTCCGGAGATTCATCCTGAGATTCCTGAACCTACGATTACAAGTCTAGAGAAGTTGCCGGGTGTTAGGTTTCCTCCGGCCCTGCTCGCCGCTAATCCTGGTCTTGCCGGGGCAAAGCCAGGCAGTCTTGTGGTTGTTGCCTCGCCATCCAAGGTAAACACTTAAATACATACAGTGGTGTTCTAGAAAAAAGTGGATTATTATGGTTTATTTTGAAATAACGTTGAGGATTCTTCATTTTGTAACCAAATTATTTTACAGGTTTTATATTCATTTTCTCAGAAATTACTAAAATTTATTTATTTGAATTCGAGATTTAAGTTACACACAGGGGTGTATATTAGTTGTGAGACTCATATTTTTGCCCCCCCCCCCCTTCAGAATCGTATTTATTCCCCAAATCCACAACTTAAAAAACGGGTATATTTTACAGGTATTTGAAGCCCGCTTAATCTGTGTGGGGGTGCCCTTTTTGGTTTTAAGTAGTAAAATTGAGCGTTTTGATGCCCTAAAAAGGTCAACTTCAAGTTTTATAAATCATTTCTGATACAGTTTTTTTATTTTGTTTTATTTTGTGGTTTTTTCCTTTCTCCCTTTTCCCTTCCCCCTTTACCCTTTTCCCTTTCCTTTTGCCACTTTTCCCTTCCCTTTTGCCACTTTTCCCTTATAATGGAAGCTCATATTTTTGCCCCCACCCCCGGGGGTAACAGAAAAATATACACCCCTGGTTACGTAACAGTTTGGTCTGATGTTTTTTCAGGCATTTTATTAATTTTTTTCTCTGGGACTAAATCGAAAAAATAAGTACTTTGAAGCGCAAATAAATGTGATGCACATATCTGAAAATTAATTTAAAAACTGCATTTTTGTATTCTAGAATGATCCGAACGCGCAGATGTTGCACGTTTACATGGTGTCCGATAAGAAGAAGAAAGAAAATCCTCTGCTGACCCCCGGGCATATTAGTCCACCTCCCTCTCGCATTCGCTCCCTAGATCCTGGACGTCTTTCTATAGATCCGGCTGTAGTCCGAGCAGTGGATAGGAAGCGGACGAGTGCTGAAAGGACGAACAGGATTACAGACATTAGTCCTGGCTCTGTTTACAGGTAATATTTATAAATTTTTGTTTAATGAATTGTAAAATATTCACAGAAAAATAGAATTAAATTGAGGAAATAATTAAAATTTTTGAACTTTTTTTCTATCCATAGCATCTTTCTTTTTCTGCCATCAGAATATAAAAAAGTTTTTATAATTATTGTTTTGTTTTAGACGTCAGAGAACCCTGAGCGAAGGAACAATGATCTCACCAAGCAGACTGAGAACTCTTTCAGCGACTATCCGAGACGACGCAACGTAAGTAATTTCTCTGTCCAGAGCCCGCGATTTAAAAGCTTTGACTAAGGTCATAATTTCTTAGGCTGGACTTACTAAGTTAGGCCAATTAAAATAAAACTGACATCGGTTGGTTTTAGTGGAGGGCTTAATGTTCTAACCATGCAACTTTAATCCGAAAGCCCAAGCCGTAAATAAGGCCCAACGGCAGCTTAGACCTGAGCTGTATTTTCCCGAATTTTTTAAATCGCGGGGCAGTTCATTAAATGATTTACGATATAATAAGAATGAGTTTAATTGGTTTAAAATTAGTTTCAGTTTTATTTGATTTTCTCGTTTTTGTTTCTCTCTTCATCGAATTCTTTGATGGTGAACCAGCATCTACATTTTTAACATTATTATCTAGTTTTTATTTAATTATTGTTTTTCATTAACGAGAAATATTACTTCAAAGAAAGTTGCCGATGAACAATGTATAATCTTGCCAAAATCTAGTCTTTCAACCATTATGTAGCTATATCTAGCCAAACGGCTGAACCGAATTGGCCGAAATTTTTTTGAGGGAACCCATGGGAACCGTGGCCCGGGAGTAAAATCGGCTAAAATATTCGAAATTTTTTTCTTCTAAATTTGAACTTATCTTCTTTAAATTCGATTTTTTTTAAGTCCGCGGGCAACGCCCGGTACTTCAGCTAGTTTCAGATGTTCATATAGTTTATCAAAGATACAAAAAATAATTCTTAACTTCATTTTTTAGACTGGGGGAGACTTATACAAGAACCCGCAAATCTGGAAGTTCATCGGAATTCAGTAATGAGGTTCCTGAATCTGGTACAGCAACTCCCGGATCAAGCACAGCAACTCCCGGATCAAGCAGCAGTATTCCCGGATCAAGAAGCAGTACACCCGGATCGAATGAAGATCCTAATGCTCCTATTGCTCGTAAATCTAAGCCATAGTAAAATCTTTCGTTTAAATTCACTCTGATAAAATACCAAAAAATGTATAAAATTATATATAATATTATCTGTTCTGGATTTTCTAGTTAAGATTTCATCTGTTTGATTAATGTGGAAATAAATCTATATTAGATTTTATATAATATGTTAAAAACATGGATAAAAGGAACTTTGAAAAATCAATTCTGTTGTAAAGGACTGAAAATAAAACCTATTAGAGCTTATGATTTCACTCCTGGACCTTGAAGGGTGTCCTTGGGACACCCTTCAAGGTCTAGGAGTGAAGTAAAGCTAGTTTACTATATTATCTTCATTACGAATTATAGTAGATTTAATGGTTTCAATTGATAATTCAAATTAATTTATCTTTTTAAATTTTCCAAATAGTTTTACGGTCCCTTTAATATTGGTGTCATATAATGTCAAGTGGATAATTCATAGAAACTTAGGATATTCTATATATGTTCTGAAAATACATCTCTCTGATCCTGAAATGTTCAAATTTTCAGCTGTTCTATATATATATATATATACTATATATATGTTAAGTGTAAATTTCCTTTGGACCTGGGTTATTATGTATCTGTGACTGAATTTTCCTAGGAACTGAGGAAAAGATGGGAAATGTTGGATCAGAGAGCCAAGATGAAGCCAAGGGAAGAGTAGAGAAGGAGAAGTACCTAATGGCTGTGCTGAAGTAAAACCAAACTTCCAATTGAACTCGTCATCAAATTCTGCTATCGGAATTGATCTGATATTTGTTTTAAAAATGTTTTCAGTCGGAAACCTTTTTCAAATAAGGAATTTAGATTTAATGTGATTAATAGAAGTTTAAATTTCTTTATTCTAATTTGACCATTTTAAAAGAATATTAACTGTTATTTGACCAATTATAAAGGAAAATGCTAAGTTAAAGTTGTGAAAATTAAAGTAAAAATGGTGGTGGCTCGTGGCTGCCGGAAGAGAAAAAAGCTAATATGTGGCATGGAAGGGGAAATAGTGGTGGCTCATGGCCGCCTGCCTTCCCCCGCTCTTTACGTAGCTTCTTTCGGTTCATTATTCATGTAGCTTCTTTTCAGTTATTATTCATGAAGCTTCTCTTCGGTTTATTATTCATGTAGCTAAAATTTTTAGTTTGTTATTCATGAAGCTTTTTTCCAGTCTTCTATTCATCACATCGATTCAGCCTGAAGATTATTATTCATATAGCTTCTTTTCATTTGTTATTCACGTAAATTCTTTTCGGTTTATTATCTGTGTAGCTTCTTATCAGTTTATATTCTTGTAGCTTCCTTTAGTTAATTATCCATATGAAGATCATAGTTCAGCGCCCGCGATTTAAAAGCTTCGGGTTGAGTCGTAATTTCTTACACCCGGCTTTAAGACCCAATCTTAGGCTCAACTTTGACGACAGCTTGTGTCACGTGATTGACAGCTACAAGATCTTAGGCTCCACTTAGGAGTTAGGCCCAAAGAAAATAAAAACCGACCTTGGGTGGTTTTAGTGGAGAATAAGGCTCTCATAAAAAACTATTTCTTCAATGAAAATCCGCCAAATAGAATATTAAACCTGTTTTTGAACTCAACTCGGGAAAATAAGATGCCGTTAGAACCCGAAAGCTCAAGCTGTAAATAACGCCCGACGGCAGCTTATGATAAAAAATTAATATTTTAAGGCTTAGCTTTGATTAAAATGAATACCGTAGAGAAGAAATTATCTGCCTTTGACTTTGATGAAGAAAGTGAGGAAGATGAACTTGATGAACTTGAATCAGATCTTGAGCGGGAACAATCTGACAATGAACTAGAGGAGTCGGATTCTGAGGTTTATTTTTATTATAATTAATATTTCATTTAAAAATGTAAGACTATGTTAATGGGAGTGACCGGCTATGTAAGGTAGTTGAACTGAGTATGCAGTGTTGTGGAAAACTTCTCTCGGATTCATTTGAGGCAGATTAAATTTTTTGAAGATAAAGATCTGTAAATCCTGAGTTTGAGTGCAAATTCGACGTTCAAAACTCCTACTTTGGTGGTGGATACGTTTTCAGAATTAGTTTTGTTATAATTATTAAATAACGACAACGAAAAATAAAGTAAAAATTATACAGTACTCAGATTAGATGGTTAGGAACGTATTTTTCAAAAGAAAGGAATTAACTCTTTGCAACAAACTCTGATTTTCTAATCCCTATATCTTTGGATTCCAACGTCGTAAACCTTTGAAATTTCAAACTATGACTTTTGTTAGATCAAAAAATATAAGTTTGAAATATCAAAGGTTTACGACATTGGGTTCCAAAGATATTGGGATTAGAAAATCAGAGTTGTGGCAAAGAGTCAATTCCTTTGTCAATAAATCAATGCTAAAATCGATTATTTCGTTTTCAATATTAAATTGAATTTCTAATTTTCTTTGAATTTATTCGCAAATGTCTTCAAATGTCGTCTTTTCAATAATAATTCTAGAAAATCTGCGAAAACTTTGTGAATAATGTGAAACCAGAATAATGAGTATAGTAGAAACTAATAATTGAACAAGATTACTTATTTTCGATGATAAGATTAATTTTTATTTTCTCAACATGTTCCTATACATGACATCTGTAGTTTATTGTAGAACTTTTTTACATTTTATGTCGTCGTTATTTAATAATTAAAAAAAACTAATTACACGAATTGATCACATTTTAAACGTAAATTAATTAAAATAAAAGATAGGAAATTAGATGTCGTCTTTTCCAGATTTAGGGGTTTTTCTGTCACAATAGCCCTGAGGCAGAAGACCAAATGAGTTACGCACATGGTGAGCAAATTTTGTATCGTGAAAAAGTGCGCAGAATAACAGACAGAAAAAGCCTGTTCTACGCCGACTGCGCGTAACTCCTCATGGGCTTCTGCTTTAGGGTTTTTGTGAACGCAAAACCCCTAATTCTTGAAAAGATTACATCAAGTGTCCTTTCTGTTATTTTAATTATTCTATGGTTAGATACTTTTAAGAGATTAAAAGAACTAATGTTTTCTTCATCGGCATATTTCACAAAATTATTTTCTGTTCAGATCAGTCCTGTTGAGCTGTTTATAAAGGAATTCTTTAAATGCGATGAAAACGAGGATGATCCCAATGATCTGGAGGATTCGGAGGATGATACTTGTGACCTTGATGTGTCGGAGCCTCGGAGGAGTATTAGAAACCACGCAGAGTACATTCATTGTTCACTGTTTAGTGAGTTCAGTCCACAATGCAATATAACCAGAAAATAACAATGTAAATTAAACCAAAACATTGCATTCAGGTTGCTAACATTTTGTGACACTTTGTGCGTTTGCCAAAGTTATGTCTTATAAATCTTGAATATGTTGTACTGTGGTATNTCTAAAGACATTTGGGATGATTTTGAGGCAAGTAAAGAAACTAGAAAATGCTGTAACAGAATTAGAAAACAAGGTAGGATATCTGGGGGGGGATATTCATCATATATACCCTTAAAACGTTAACACAGAATAAATTTTGTTTTTAATAGGCTTCTGATTTCTTATTTTTAAGATTCCAATCACTATTTCTTTGTATTTATTATCAAAAAGTAACAATTTAAATTTCGTCTATTTTTCTGTTTTCAATGGTGGTTTTCACATAATAAAGTTTGAAAATCAAAGTTTCAAAACAATTATTTCATCCAGCCTCTTACCTTAACGCCAAAAAATAAGCAAAATCAGTTCAGCCTTTGTGACGGTCATCGGATTCATAAAGAAAGCGAACCAAGTCAATATCCCAAATGTTGATTGATGATTAAAATTGGTAGCAAAAGGGGGGGGGGCAATTCGACACCTTGAGTTGACAAAGACGAAAATATTCGTCTCAAGACGAATTGGAGACTCGTCAACTGCAGTTGGACGAAGCTAGATCTGCAAGATCAGTGGACGATTCTAGTCTAAAGGTAATAAGATCAAGATCAAGATCAAGATCAAGATCAAGATCAAGATCAAGATCAAGATCAAGATCAAGATCAAGATCAAGATCAAGATCAAGATCAAGATCAATGATAAGATTTTTTGTTAAAAAATTAAGTTTCACGTCTAAAACTTTAATTACAAAGATAGGTTTACAGGGCGCGTCGTGTCAATCTTTTTGGTAAGAAACTTTGCTTTTTGGTGCAGATATATCTGCACTTTGCTAGCTTTTCCTACATTGTTAAATAATAACAAGACAAAATTCTCAGATTTTCCTGCTATCCTTAGGGCGGATTTCCCAAATTGAAAAAAAATATATATTTTGAGGCAAAATATTTCCACAAAAATACCGTCCCTGGGGTCGTGTGAGATACCACTAATAAATTAGACTTCATCGTTTCAGCTATTTTGATAAGCCAAACATTTATTAGTTGTAAAGCTATATCAGACGAAGGGCTTTCTAGATTTTCAGGGAAATTTCTAATTCAAGTTTTTAACTTCAATTGTTTTTTTAAGATTGAGCTAGAGGAGATATTCCTTCTGAAGATGGAACAGCGCGCCGTGTTCATGAGGCAGAGCAAGAAGTTAGACGAAAAGGTGCCTTTATTCAAATTTCTTTTTATGCATCATGTTATTCCTGTATCTATATAGATTTCATCCAGATTTATTTCTTAGATTTGAGAATAAGATTCCGGACAGTTAAACGTTGATTTATTTTTTTAAACAAGCAATTTACATAGCTTACAATGCTAAAATAATTTTTAACAAGTCAGGCTGTCGCTAATTGTATTTTATACGTAATTTCAAGTGACTCTTTTTTATGCTGGGTCCATTTTACAACGGTACAAAATTTGCTTGATCAAGGATAAATGAAATATCCTTTTTTTTCTAGCTAAAAATTGAGTTACTCCGGGAACTATGCGACGTTACTCGCGCGGAGTTGAAACTTTACTCTTTGAGTTTCTCTCTATTAAATTTTCAGCTAGAAAATTACAGATATTTTTCTCGTCGATGATCAGACATAGTTTTATAGGATAGTCCTAAAATTGGTACCAGTACAAACGTCGGACCAAAGAGAATAGAATATATTAGAGTGGAATTTACTAGAAAAAAGTGTAAAACGGCCATTTTGTTGTACTGTTTCCATACTGCAGGTGTACTTCACATATTTATGCTATATAACCTGTTGGGCCCTGGAATATCATTTTATAGAAAATCTAAAATTAATTTTAAAAGAAAACCAAATTATGAAATAGGCTGTTTTCATAATTGACCAATGATCATTTCACCTAGACTCTATGCCTTTCACTTTACAAACGATGATTTTGCATTATGACTATAAATCAAATGATGTTTTTTATTCACCTAATTATTATTTTATAAAGTTTATTTAAAGCTTTAAAAAATTCGAAATTGAAATGAATAGTCTAGGGAACATACTGTATTAATGTACTCTACTGCATATAATTTGTGAACATTTACATGATTTGTACACTTTGAACTCCCTTTTAGGCTGAAAGGGACTGAAAAAATTCATATCGAAGGATTGTCTAAATTCCACCTTAATATATATTCTTTTCTCTTTGCACGCACCTCTGATCCTTTAGTAAAAGTAAATTCAACATAAAGTCTGACTGCGTCAACCTTGTTGCACCGGCTAGTCCTATTGAATGTCTGCTTTATTTACCCAATGTCCGGGCGATACAGTACAAACTGGGACCGGAAATGTTGACCCGGCTCGGAAATTCAAATGTACTACGGCTGCCCGTGCAGAGCATTTTGTTCATGATATAATGGACCTCCTTTATTATACATGGCAAGTAGAAGGTCTAAGTCAATATTTAGTCTGGTAAAAGTAAAATAAGGCATTTAGACATCTGAGGAATCAGGCAATAGGTTTATAGTCCAGTTTTTAGCCTAAAGTGAGGGGCTTGTAATTGTTATAAAGTCAAAAATGTCCAAAGATAGGGTTAAAACATTCTGGCGTAAAAACTTGAAAAAAGTGATGAACTAATTCCACTGTAAACTCTTGTTCATTTTAAGCATCGCACCAGGCCGAGCAAGCTATGCAATACACATACAGACTATGTCAGGCAAAACGGCACAGTACACTTTCGCAGAATATAAATTATCAAACTTACTCTTTAGGATGGTGTAATTTGGGTTCAACGAGTTCTTCTTTGGGTGATTTTTTTCATCTTTGCTTTTGTGTTCTTGATCTTTCTATTCAACGAGGTAGATATTAAAAACATTTAATATTATTTGTATGCAATGCATACCTTTATGGTGAAACCCTTGGACATCCCGATCGCTTAAACTGAATATCCAATGTAGACACTTTTAATCTTTAGCTTAATCTGTGCTTTTTCTCTTTTTTTGCCCTACCAAATTCCGACTAATGAAATGATGCGTAAAATTTCAAACTTTCCGGCTTCTTATTGGCTGTACAGGATTCTGCATACGCCACTGAATTATACGCACTTTTCAGGATGCAAAATCAAGATTAAATTAATCTTAAATTAATATAATGAGGAGGATAAACATTGATCTCAATATCCACAATTTTAAAATATACAGTTCAAAGTTAAGTTTTGAGTTGGATACTATTAATCCCGATCGCTTGATCCTGATATTCACTATGGGCACTTTTAATTTGAGGATCAATACTTTATCTCTTCAGTTTAGTTATCCCTTCAGGCAGGGTACAATTACAATGCAGATAAGAAATAAAGAAAATATTAATCTGCAGATTAACGAAAGATTTAGATCAAGCATTGGCACAAACTTTTCTTGACTTCTCAACGGCTATTTTTTGCAACCAACTATCCTTAAAGCTTAGATATACTGATCGATCAAATAATTTCAGTTTGAAACATCAAAGGCTTACACCATAAGGTTGCATTCAGCGATTAGAAAATATGATTTGATGATAAAGATGCAGCTCATTCAATTTGAGTCATCTACACCGACACCGTTAAATGCTACTGACCTCCATTGAACCCCTTTTTAGGTTTATAAAGTCAAATAAAAATGAATATGGAGATCAATGACTTCTGATTCAAAATAAACATTTTGAGCTGTGTAGATAAGAAGAAATAACTTTTAGGGTTAATATCAGCATGCCAAATTTTAGGGCTAATATCCAAAGAGAATAGAATATATATTAGAGGAGAATTTACTAGAAAAAAGTGTAAAACGGCCATTTTGTTGTACTGTTTCCATACTGCAGGTGTACTTCACATATTTATGCTATATAACCTTTTGGGCCCTGGAATATCATTTTATAGAAAATCTAAAATTAATGTTGAAAGAAAACCAAATTAAGAAATAGGCTGGTTTCATAATTGACTAATGATCATTTCACTTTACAAACGATGATTTTCCGTTATAACTATAAATCAAATGATGCTTTTTATTCACCTAATTCATTTGAACTCCCTTTCAGGCTGAAAGGTACTGAAAAAATTCATACCGAGAGATTCTCTAAATTCCCCTCTAATATATATTCTATTCTCTATGCGTCGGACCCAGAAACGTCAGACAGTACAAACCTAAAACTTACCAAGGTTAAACAGTACAACATCGGACCAGGACAAACGTCAGACAAAAACAAACTTCGGACTAAGGAAAAAAAATTATTTGAATTTTAAGATTTTTTCTTATTAAAAAGTTATTTCCTGTAATCGACTGGTTTAATAAAAATCTACCCAAAGGAACTGAGTTCTTGCCACTAACTCAAATATTCTCATTCCTAAAATCAAAGGTTACTTTAATTTACGTGTACATTACAGTCCTTTAAATCATGTCTGTTGTCTAAAATTCTTCATCTAGTTATTTTTTATATTTAACTAGGAATTTTGACACTACAAAATCTCATTGTTGAAAAATATTAAAATTAACTGTCCACTCAATATCGTACAAATAGATGTACTTAGGAATAAACCCACTGTACTCTATGACACCAACTCAGTCATAAGGAAACATTTTTCGACAAATTTCACTGTACAGTATAAACCTAGCCAGGCAAAATTAGGAGAGTTATGCCCGCCCCCTGGTTATAACTTTAAAAAGTACAATGAGCACAAGAGACACAGCATTTGTGTAGAGTAAACATCAACCCATTTCAATAAATTAGTGATTTGATAAGTGTCAAGTAAAACTATTTGCTGTGTAACAACATGAAATACACTTAAGTATTCCTTTAATGTCGTCTTCCTATTCCATTGTTTTCTGGTTATTACTGTATGAAGTTGAGTTAAGTTAATAGTCATAGTTAAAGTAAACAGTAGAAAAATTGTGCTATTATCAATTTCAATTATAATACATAACAATACTTTGTTCAAGGTACTAATGCAAGGAAAGTTTTTTCAGAGGTGTACAAATTTTTTGTTCTGCAGTGTCCTGTCTTTGGGCGGAAAAGTAAACAAAAGACGGATGTCACAGCCTGACATGGAATCCATTTTCACAAAAATAATCTATGAAATATTTTGGTCATAGGAAACTATTATGTGAATTTTCAAAATTATCAAAATTAAATCCTCGGATACTAAACGAACACTGATGCATCTTTTCTTGTTTACAAAGTCCGCCCAGAGAGAACTGGTTTCAATATGTACGCAGAGTATACCTGACCGCAATTAACTTTCCTTGCATTAGTTCCTTGGCTTTGTTTTCCTTTCATTGTTTAGCTCAGCAGTTTAAACTCATTTATTTAAAAAAGTATCGGTGTTTTCCCACTTTTCGATTTAATTTTTAAGCCCTCAATTAAAAAAAAAGAAAAGGTTGTATGTTCAATTCTCAACGGTACCTTTTAACCCGCCGTCTGATCACAAATGATGAAGCTATCTTTGTGACTTGATGATTATTTATGCAGCATAGACTAGGAAAAAAATTAAAAGAATTCAACACTTTAAGATTAAAAACAACAACATCTTTTTTATTGTTGTAAATTTACCCATTGTAAATCGGGCATTCAACTTTTTAGTTAAGGAATCATTTACAATCATTACTACAAAGGAAGGTGACGGAGAATATTGTGCTGTTTCTGCTCTGCAACGGAAGGAAGATGGTGGAGAATATTGTGGAGAGGATAAACGATTTACTGTAGGATACTTATGACCTTAATGTGTCGGAGGAGTATTAAAAACCACGCAGAGTACATTCATTCTTCACTGATCAGTCTATATAATGCAATATAACCAGAAAATAACAATGTAAATTAAACCAAACCATTGCATGCAGGTTGCTAACATTTTGTGACACTGTGTGCGTTTGCCAAAATTAGTTTTTAGCAGATTTTATCGAAGTTGTTAAAAATGTCTTATCTTTGAGTTCTTCTTTTTTTTCGTAATAAAGTTTTGTCTTATAGTTCTTGAATATGTTGTACTGTAGTATGATTTGGAAATTCCTAAACCAAGACGCTCTGAATAAATACTATTGCAAGTGGAATGTCTCAATGCAAGATTTCATCATTACATTTCAATCTAAATGTATAATTGTATCAGGGTCTTATTTTCATCTATAGAATTCTTATGTTTTAAAGCAAAAAGCTCAAATAATAATTAGTTTATTAAATAATTTTAGTTTTCGGCCAGAAACCTATCTTTGTGTATTCAACATTTTCATTTGTTTAAAGTATTTAAACTCATTACATTTAAAGATTTTATAATATTTTTGTGTGATATTTTATAAACTTAACCAATTTCATGTTCAAAAATTTCATGTATTTCTAGATTTAAAGGTGATTAAAATGAGTACCTTAGACAAGAAATTATCTGCCTTTGACTTTGAGACTGAGAACCCAGGAAATGAACTAGAGGAGTCGGATTCTGAGGTTTATTTTTATTATAATTAATATTTTATCTAAAAATGTAAGACTATTTTAATGGGATCGACTGTAAGCATAATTTCAAGTGACCTTTCATTTAAAGAGGGACATGCCCCTATTAACAAAGGTACACTTTAAACCTTTTATTGGTCAAGGGTGACAGACCTTTCTTTCTTTATGTACAGAAACCTTTGTAAACCTTGAATACTTTGTTTGCAGGCTGTTTCATATTAATTTAAGAACATTATATGTACATTCTTAAAGGGGCAGCAAGAACATCTGAACTTTTAAAGAAGAAAATAGGATCGGGAGTATTTTATTTAACTATGACATGCACTAGGTCCTAGAAAAATATTATTAATATTTTGTTTAGAACAAAACTAAATGTCCGCTCTGTTCTGAAATGATCTCCAATAAATTCTCAGCTAAAAGACATCTTGGTAGAACACATAAAACCTTGTCAAAGCTGGAATATAATTCTATCTGTAAGAACATGAAGGAAGCAAAGAAGAAGTGTCAATATTGCAGGAACATGGTCTAAGGGTTAAACAACATAAGAAGGTTCGTAAGCTTTATTCATAGTATTACTATTACCGAGGGGAGTTATCAGATGGGTCAAAGGTTAAGGGAATCTTTTAAAAACATTTTGTCCATACAGTTATAACAAAAAACACTGGAATAAGAAGACGTTATTATAGCAATACTTACGTGTATTTGATGATGTTAAAAAACAACTATTTTACTGGACACGTATTAAAGCACTTATTTAGTGAAATAGGTCTGTTAACATTGCACAACAGCTGTGATGCCCGTGGCACTTTTTAAATTGTGTGGGCCTATTTCAGAGTTTTCTGGTATCACTATAATAATCTAGAATAACCATAAGAAAAGTCAAACTTAAAGGGACTGTAAAGGATGAATAAAAAGGGGGTATAGGCTAAACCTTAACCATTTTAGGAGTTAATTTTAATCTGAACCTGGAGATATTCAGTTGGGCTTATCTTAACCTGGAGATATTCAGCAGTTCTAATCTGAGCCTGGAGATATTCAGCAGTTCTAATCTGAACCTGGAGATATTCAGCAGTTCTAATCTGAGCCTAGAGATATTCAACAGTTCTAATCTGAACCTGGAGATATTCGGAAGTTCTAATTTGAGCCTGGAGATATTCAGCAGTTCTATTCTGAACCTGGAGATACTCCGCAGGTCTGATTTGAACCTGGAGATATTCAGCAGTTCTAATCTGAACCTTGAGATATTCAGCAGTTCTATTCTTAACCTGGAGATATTCAGTAGGGCTTATCTTAACCTGGAGATATTCAGCAGTTCTAATCTGAGCCTGGAGATATTCAGCAGTTCTAATCTTAACCTGGAGATATTCAGTAGGGCTTATCTTAATCTGGAGATATTCAGCAGTTCTAATCTGAACCTTGAGATATTCAGCAGTTCTAATCTAAGCCTGGAGATATTCAGCAATTCTAATCTGAACCTGGAGATACTCCGCAGGTCTAATTTGAACCTGGAGATATTCAGCAGTTCTAATCTTAACCTGGAGATATTCAGTAGGGCTTATCTTAACCTGGAGATATTCAGCAGTTCTAATCTGAGCCTGGAGATATTCAGCAGTTCTAATCTCAGCCTGGAGATATTCTGCAGTTCTAATCTTAACCTGGAGATATTCAATAGGGCTTATCTTAACCTGGAGATATTCAGCAGTTCTAATCTGAACCTGGAGATATTCAGCAGTTCTAATCTGAACCTGGAGATACTCCGCAGGTCTGATTTGAACCTGGAGATATTCAGCAGTTCTAATCTGAACCTGGAGATATTCAGGAGTTCTAATCTTAACCTTGAGACATTTAGCTGGTTTAATCTGAACCTGGAGATATTCAGCAGTTCTAATCTGAGCCTGGAGATATTTAACAGGTCTAATCTGAGCCTGGAGATACTCCGCAGGTCTGATTTAAACCTGGAGATATTCAGTAGGTCTAATCTGAACCTGGAGTCATTCAGCAGGTCTATAAACAAACACGCTGAAATTAAAAACCGTTAACTCTTGAAAAAATCATGTATTGTTTATTTCTTGTTTTTTGGTAAATGTTCTAATGTTTATAATATGAATAATGAACATGGAAAGAGTTCGAAAATCTTAAATGATATCACTTGGAAATACAAAAATAATCCCTTCAGTAAAACTTCGTAAAATTTGTGAAAGTATCGGCAAAACAAACAAAAAAGTTAAATCTTTTCAAGTCTGGATTTTTAGTTCAATGAAGTAAATATTATTCAAAATTATGAAAAGTTGATTTAGTGTTTTTGTTGAAATGTGCATTCAAATTAAACAAATATTTAACCAGTCATGCTTATTTTGAAAACAGTGAAGAACTACTTTTAAATATACTCCATTGTGTATAAAAAATATCTATTAATTTATAACTTTTATAGTTGTCTTGATATCTGAGGACTTTAAATTGTTTATTTCAGAGTTATTATTGTTCCAAGATGTCTGAACTAGAGGAACTAGAGAATAGGATGATAATCAATTATTCTGATATTTTAGTTCTTGAGACCCAGGGATAAGATGTCACAGAGAGCATCAAGTACAACCTTGCGGAGACGGATTGATGAGTTGGAGAACACCTTCAAAATTTGGAGGATGGATGAAGTTGATTCAACTAGACTAAGAAGATTATCAGACGAGACATGTACCATTCAAGGTAACACATTCAACCGGAAGTATGCATTGCAGACATACAAATTGAAAACAGGATTCTGAAGGAATGTTCAACAACCTACATACAAAATAGGCTCTTAAAAAAACAGGCCTCAATTTTTAACCGATTTTGGACGTAAAATAATGTTCAGCAAACAAAAATCTCGTTTCATGTTCATTACTAATTTTATTCACGGTAACAATTCTTAAAAAAGCAATTATTTGTTGATGCTAGAGTGTTAAATTTAACCCTCAAAAATGAAAATTGCAATCTCAAATACCACAAAGGCAAATATTGTTAACATTGTTATTTTTTTTATACAAGTTACTTCGAGGGGTTTGTGCAAGCTGAAGTTTATAGATTTTTAATAAAATCGCTCGAACCTTCCCCCTCCCTAGATTTTAATCAAGTAAGACTTTTTATCTTCCTTAAATCGTTTTTTATTAAATTCGAATGGGATTAGACCTTGATTATTTTGAATCGGATTAAAAATGCGGGTTTTTGAGAAACTTTATTATTTTAATCTCCTGAAATCAGTCCCATCTTGGCATCTTTCTCATAAATGGCCTACAGTCCTAAATTATAATTATTATAAAGATTTATTCACACACTAAGACATAAATACAAGTACAACACTGATATATAAATGGTGTAGTTTAAATTTGTTTAAATAAATTTTTGAAAATACAGGTTTCCTAAAAGAAAAGAGAAAAATATGCAATATTATGCACAAATAGACGACACTGATCATTACTCATTACATAACATATTTATCATTTCAGTTATTACGTAATCATCTAATCCTTCAAAATATAAATTATGCGTTCTTGTATGTAGAAGTTCTTGTAAAACAGGAACTTTCCATGCACGGTCCAATGGGACATCAAAATATTTCATTTGTTTCTTAAATAACACTTCACACTGAGATCAGAATGATTTACAGAACCAAGGTACTAATGCAAGAAAAGTTACTTCAGTGGTGTACGCATTTTTTGTACTGCAGTGTACTGTCTTTGGGCGTTACAGTAAACACAAGACGGATGTCGAAGCCTGACATGGAATCCATTTTCACAAAATCTATGAAATATTCTGGTCTTAGGAAACTATTATGTGAATTTTCAAAATTATCAAAATTATATGTTTTTATCCTCCTCGGATACTAGACGAACACAGATGCGTCTATTCTTGTCTACAAATTCCGCCCAGAGAAAACTGGTTTCAAAATGTACGCAGAGAATACGCGACCGCAATTAACTTTCCTTGCATTAGTGCCTTGTACAGAACAGTCATATGGAAAATAAAGTTCTGCTAAGAACTGTGTTAAGGTCATTTTTGCATAAATTAGAAAGAAATTTAATGCAAAGCTTAGAACTTGCTTCAATAGTCTCATAGAAAGACACACATCTGCTAGCTAAGATAGTTTTTACATGTAAACATTGTGAAATACTTTTAATCAAGTACCTATGCGTATCTCTAGGTACATTAAAAAGAATTCTAATAGCAGAATTCCATGCTGTATACAATTTTGAAACACATTGGAAACTCAAGTCCAAAAAACTAGATCCATAAAAACTACAACAATAAATATTATGCAGTTTTAAAATAACATCTGGACTGTTAAAATAAAATTCTTGGTTAAGGGAATGAATTTTTTAAATGAAAATAGCTTGTTTTTTATTTCAATCTATGGTCATTGAATTATCACTTTGCAGAACATTTCAAATGTTTCAAGTCGTTGACAAATGGTAAAGGTAATTCATTCAATAAAATTGGGGTTATTTCATTATAATTAACCCTTTCTTTAGAAACAATAAGGCATTTAGTTTTACATTTTTTGATTAGACTATTTGTACTAGATTTCAGTTTAGTAGCTTTGGCAAAATTTGCACAAATTTTCACCATTTCCTGAAGACCTGTTCTGCTAGGAGAATAATATCCTCTGCATATACCCAGATGCCCATATAGACACTCTGGATTTGGCATCCAATCGTTGAACAGCGTAATAACTTCATAACTTTGTCAATGTATATAAAGAATAGCACAGGGGAAGAAACTGCTCCTTGTCTGACTCCATTTTGTACATCGAAGGTATTTGAGAAAGCATTACCCAATTTAACATTTCATTTATTGATTTGAGTAAATGAACATTAAACATCTTAATGCTAGAGGTGAAACACCCTTCTCCAATAACTCTGAGAAGAGCACATCCCATGACACAAGATCAAATGCCTTACTCCGATCCATTGCTTAAGCATAAACTGCTTAACCAGCTCTGTCGTAATAATCCACTACAGAGTTGACCCCCAGCTGCACATTGTAGTACTGGCTAGCTTCTGAAAACTAAACTGAAGTTCAGGGTGGTCAGCTTATAAGAGTTTAGAATTAATATCAACCAGTCAAACCATTTAAGAATCAAGCTCCCATTGGCAATTGCCCTGTAATTGTCACTGAAAGCAATGTCATCTAAGTTGTCCTTCACTATGGGCACTAATGTGCACAGTAGTAAGAAAGCAGGATTTTGCCGGTAGTCAAAAACCATTTAAATAGGGTGGTCACATGATCTATTAACTTGTTAAATGCATTCATTAAGCAGTCTGAGCTGAAGTCAAATAATGCATCACTTTTCATTGCTTTCATTTTATTTAGTGCATCTTTGACTCACTGGGTGTTAACTTTATTTATATCATCCTGTAATCCATGATGAACTCTACTTGTATATTTTGCTGCACTTTATCAAAACCTTCTCCTGGAGTATGCTGGTTCTTTATGATGTTAGTTATCACAGGAATCTTTTTGCTTGCATAAACTATAAATATTAAAACAATCTCCTGTGATAACTAACATCAGAGAGAACAATATTTAAGTTCAGTTTGGTTATAAAATATAGTTTATTTCAGATAAACTAATCTCAGATGTATGTAAAAAATAGATTGTTATTGCAATGCTATATGGAATCAGCACGACCACTTCTTAATGGTTTAAATAAAAAAAATCCTGTGATAACTGACATCATAAAGAGCAATATTAGACCAAAAGTTGTTTTAAAATCTAGTCTGACTCAAAATTAAAAATATACAATTTTTAGGATAAGGATGGGAAGGGGGAAAAGCAAGATATATCTTCAATTTCTCTCTCCATTCATCAGTTCTAATCTGAACCTGGAGATATTTAGCAAGCATAATCTGAACCTAGATCTATTCAATAGGTCTAATCTGAACCTGGCTGTATTGAGTAGCTCTAATCTGAACTAAGATATATTCAGTAGGTCTAATCTGAACCTGGAGATATTAAGTAGGTCTAATCTGAACCTGGAGATAATCAGCAGTCTAATCTGAACCTGGAGATATTCAGTATAATATGAAAATCGTGAACTCAGATAAACTTTATAAAGATCCGTAGATCTTACATCATGTACGTCATTGCTTGAAATACCTGAAAGAATAGTTTTATTGATCCTATTCATGTAAAAAATCCACAATGTACATTAGCACTAATATTCATATATGTAATATGAACATTGAACATGGGAAGGGTATGCCAATCTTAAATGACGTCACTTGAAAATACATTGACAATATCTGCAGTAAAACTTTGCATGATTTGTTAAAGTATCGGCAAAACGAAAAAATGGCTGAAGTTTTTAGTTCAATTGAGTAGATATAATGTAAAGTTGTGATATGTAATTATGTTAATTTAGTGTTTTCGTTAAATTGTGCAATTTAATTAGTCAAATATGTAACCAGTAGTACAGTGGTAACCGAAAATAGTGGAAATATTTTCGGTTCTTTTTCATCTTCTGTTTATGAAATATCGGTCAGGATTTTCTACTTTGTGACTCATTTATTTCTAAGAATGATTTAGTTAATTCATTTACAAATTATAAAACGATATTTCATAATTATCGTTACACAGTATTTTATAAACTTTTTGATATTTCTGATTGATAAAAGATTGACGCCTTTGTCTCAGTATCCTAGTCTCCAACCGCCACTGCTGCTACACTCCGCTATTTGTGTGCTTAATTAATGCACATTGCATATAGTTTGAAACTATAATTATTATTAGCTCCCCGACCACTGCACAAAATAATTATAATTGTCAGCTATTTAAATATATATGTAAACTTGTGGCCTATAATAAATGATTTGATCTGATTATAGACATTTTGCAGTTTATTTCGTTAAGAAAACATCTTGTCCTCAAATTTATTTTACTTAGGAATGAATCAATTTTACTTTAATATGATTGAGAATGAAACTGTCTCGTTTTTTCTCTCGATAATTTAGATATTTTAGATGTTAACTCTTCCTAGGAGTTTGTTCTGCTTTTAATTCAAATCTGAAAATAGAGTGCGACCCAAAAGTTTTTGAAATTTGTTAAAAATGCTATTTTAGTGTGATTGGGCTGATAAATGCCGATCTAGCGATTTATTAAACTTGATAAATGTGAGTCGGATCACAAGTTTGACTTGATTTTTTATTTAATTTTCGGATTGCATTTAGGCAGCCTCAATTCCCTCAATACTGATTCTCTACCCCTCAAATTTACCTTTGTTAACAAATCTGAGTAGAAAAGATGATGGACGTAATTTTTTGAAAAAAGTTTGATAAAATCCCTCCCATTGTTTTAAAGAAAACTTTTCTTTTTAATCTTTTATATCTAACACGCTTTATTGTACCATTTATTCTTATTTTTAACTTTGCATAAACTTTGGGTCAGTACAACACACTCAAGATCTAGCTTCATTTTCTTTGATGGGCTGCTCTCCTGCTTCTATGTAATTGGTAATGACGTTTCAACACATTATTTACTCTTTTCCTTCATTCGCAAAAATAAGAACATTTTGTATATATTGTTTCTTAATAAAAAATGTACGAATTGCCGAGAAAAACCCGGATTTAAAAAAAAAATTGTTAGCATATACTTTTGGATCACACTCGAGTGTATTTGTATACACTGCAATACTGGTTAACAGGCAGACAACTTATTTCACTAAAAGAAATGAAATTGTGAAGCAAAAAGTAGTGCTTAGAATCTATTTCATTTTGATGCGGATCCGGCCGTATCCTTTATCCGCCCTGTAAAAAATGGACCCGGATTCCGATTTTTTCAGTTTTTTTAGATTGCCCCTTGAATTCAGATCCGAATCCAGAAAACTTAAATATTGCGGATCCTAAGCACTGGAAATAAGCATAATTTGATTAAAATATTAAGCTAGCTATGGGTCCATTTAACCCTATCCCTGCTGGGGTACTTGAAAACCAGGATACGCTGGAGGGGGGGGTCAATTTGACCCCCCCCCCTCTAAATCCCATGTTTTATGTCCAGATGACAAATGATACGTCATTAGAAAGCTCTTGTACTCTACTTTTAGAATCTGCAAAAAAATTTGCAAATTTGCGAAAATTGAATTTTTTATTACAAAATCCAGTTTTATAGTAAAATGTTTGGAAAAAAAAATTTGTCCAAAAAATGAAAAATTATACATTTTTGAAAAGCCCTTGACCATGCCATTTCAAATATAGCAGTGTGCCTGAGGACTCAGGCAGTTAGTATTAAAGCCCGGTTTTAGGCCTAAAGGGAGGGCTTTGGGTATGTAAGAAAAGTCAGAAAATTTCAACAGCCTCAGACCAATACTTTTTGAGTTATGTAAAAAAAACTACAGGGGGGGGTCAAATTGGCCCCCCCCCCCAGCAGGAATATGGTTAAGAGCCCTAAGACTGCTCTTAAAGGGACCTCAGGCAGGAGAGGTCAGGGGCGGCCAAAAATAAAAGGGAGGAAACCCATCGTAAAAGACCTGGCTGAACTTGGAATGTCCTAGGGTGATACCGAGGCCGCAGCGCAAACCGGAATTGGAGAATTATGATGAGGCCTCTTAATCCGATACGCGGGACCTGGTTTAGTAAATAACTAAGCAAGAAATAGAAACATCGCTAAATAAAAGTTATACCCTGGAAGACCTGGAACTGACAGTTGGTGAATAGTTATAAATGTCTTCTTCCATATATTGTACTGGATATTAACCCTGTAGTTACTACAAACTCATAAACTACATATATAAGAAGACCAAGCAAGATTTCGTAGGTTGGACTAAGGTTTTTTTATAATAAAGTCCTTGATCAAAACTTGCACTCTTCTTGGTTTAAACACACCTCGGCAATTCTCTTGGGTAGCTGTGATGTAATTTTACCAGACTAAGTTATAGATTTAAAAACTGAAGTTTTAAAGTTAAATTTTCTTAGTGGGACCTCGTCACAAACACATTTAAAGAGAAACTAAGTCTAGATCTTGTCAAAAAATAAAACAAAATCTTGGTTTTGTGCAGAGTTTATTTGAATGGGTAAATTATAATAACGCAATGGACTGGATATGGTATATATGAAACAGATAAACCAGCTGCTAAGAGACGGTATTAGTACACAGTACAACCCGTACAGTGTACAATGTACAACGTACATGACTTATAAACTAGAACAGGTTTTCACATCTAAAGAACTGAAATTTATATTACTAAAGCACATACAAAGAAAGCATAAAGAAGACAAGCATATATAATTGTTCAGAAAGGAAAAACATGTTTTCCTTGTATGTGTGTCTGAACCAACTTCAAACCAACAATACACATAGTGTACAAAACAGTAAACTTTGTAAACAAAAGCTTTACTTAAGTTTGGTTTAGAAATGAAAAAAGGGAATTGAAAGGAATCACATTAACATCACATATTCAATAAAGTGGAAGCATTGTATTAGTTTGTTTGGGTAAATAAACCGTTGTATATTTAATACATAACTTGAAGTAAAAAACGCCAAGTAAACAAACTAAACTAAAGAATGGTTTGATGGTTAGGATGAGGTTTTAGCTTTGATCTCCTCTAGGATAGCCAGGGGGAACTCCATGGTTTGATCGTCAACCAAAACAACATCAAAGTTCTCCTAAATAAAAAAAATAATAAAAAATCTGAGGACAAACAAGAATATATTTACAGAGTATTCAATGTATTGTAAGATTGATTGCTAAATATGATGAATCCAACCTTATATTTCTCCAAGTTCTCCTCAATCTTGTTGTTTAAGAATCCAATGGTTAAAATAACATTAGGATTCTTTACTCCTTCAGCCATATGTAAATCTCCTAAAATTTAATGTTCAGATATTTTAGAATTATTAAAAAGGCGACTTTAAGAGCATCAATTAGAATCTAACAATTTTTAAAGGAAAGGGGGCCTATAAGTTCTTAATCTTGCTGACGGAAACAATCTCAATAACTGGCGAGGGTCAACCCAGACCGAAATATATTTTCAATAAAGGTGGAACTTTTTTTACTCTACTCCATTACCATCACAGAATTTAAATCTATAAGATTTAGTTGTTTAATATTTACCTAATGAATCTCCGATAAGAACAACATTATGCCGGTGCTCCAACTCAGGATCATGAATAGAACTCTCAGACTAAACAGGATACAATCAATTATCCAATATGTCTCCAGCATAAAATAGCATTAAATTCTAATCTTAGTTTTTTTAATTACTCGTATGAATATGATGTAGATGTGAGTCTGTATAAAACGTTTTAATTTTTAATTTTCTCCTAATAAAATGTTCCCTTACCGCACAAACCACAGATCGAAATAAAAACTGTACAGTCGTCGTCGTCGCCGTCACCAATACAATGATCAAGACTTTGGATTCAAATTTTGATTTCCCATCTTTTTAACAGCATGGATACAATGAAACAAAGAGAAACTGTCAATCTTGTAAACTTGTAATATGAAAAAAGCTTGTGAGAAATCAAACCCTAGACAGAAAAGACGTCTTTATTGTATTGATACAAACGCCGACCACTGCATTCAAATGTGTATATATTGAGCTGGAGCACTGTACCTTGTTATACATATGTATCATGGGAGGTTTGAGACCACAGATCAATCCTTCCTCGTCGTAATTACAGAAGTTAGAGACAACCTTAGTGTTCGTGTGAACCAACTAAATAATAATTTACAAAATCAAAATTTAATTTCTTTAAATAAGTCAGATTTCTGGTTCTAAAACCATAAATCTTTTTCCTTAAAGGGACCCATTATTAATTTATAAACACAAAAATAAAGCATTATTAAGTTAGCATTTTGCGCAATTTTTGAAGCATTTTTTCTTTATTTTTGTGTTTATATGACAAGATTTTGAGAACCTATATCAGCAAAGCTTAAAATGGGAATAAAAGACAAAAAGATGTTTACCATGAAACCTGTTCTTAGAAGGCCTAACATACAGATGACGGATGACGGATGAGTCAGTAAAGACGACCGGAAACTGTTGAAATATGACGATAACTGGGTTAAATTAAGTATTCTGCTTTAGATATAATAATCTAATTGCTTATTTAATGATTTGGCATAGAATCAAACAAAGTTACAGTCGCAATGAATCATGAATGCAAGGAAACCCACAGTACAAATTCCGTACAATCGTCTCTCATCCTTTGTGGGTAACCCTGTAGGTAGCTCTACAATCGTTCTACATGAACAATTGTCTGTTTTCATTGACATCTCTTTAAACCTCTAACCCCCTATAAGAACACTGTGTCCCTCTAAACCTTCAACGTTAAAAGCTTAGAATATTATTATTATTATTGAAACTAACCTGATAATGTTTTAATATTTCTAGTATAAGGTCTCCTAACCCTGCAGATAGAATCAGAACTGGAATCTGGAAATAAAGCTGTTTTCAAATGCTTTCAATGCCACAAATTAAGGAGAAAAAATCTACACATTTGCTAAAAGTGAATTGATACTGATGTTTAGTGCAGATGAGACCATTAACATCAAAGACATAACTCGTTGACAATTTTTTACTAGTTTATCTGTCAAAAATTAATGAGAGTAATCCATCCATTTTTCTACTTATAATTATTGTATTTTAGTCCAGACAAGTTCATCCTACCTTTAGTTCCTCAAGGGATATCATTAAAGTGTCCGTATCATCCCTAAACATATTAATCAATTAAACCGTTTTAAAGTTCAAACCTGTCAAACTATTAGAAATAAACGTGTTCGTTTCAATGGTTTTTTGGCGTTGAAAGGTTCCAAAACAATATAAAATATTGAAGATATTTAGAAATTGATGCTTTTGAGACGAACCAAAAAAGGTTGGTTTAACGTTTTGAAGTCGATATCCTTTATCAAATCGAGCAAACATTTTACAAATCTTAATTATTTTTTCAAAGAAAAAAACCCAAGATTTATGTGGAGCATCTTAAAAACCAATAAAACCTTGGAATGTCTAAAACAATTGATGTTTAAAAACCGGTGCTTAGGATCCGGATCCGCAAAATTTTGGCTACCTGGATCCGGGTCCAAGGGGTAAAATATCAACCAAAAACTGCAAAAAAATTTTACTCCTAAAACCCAAATCTGAACTATTGAAAAAAAGAGAGATTATACCTGTATTTTCAAAAATTTATTTAAACAAATTTAAACTAAACCCTTTATATGTGTATTTATATCTTTGTGTGTGAATAAATCTTTATGATATAATAATAAAAATTTCCTCATTTCTGAATGGTTCATCAAGTTTTAGGATAAAAATAAGCGGAAAAAATAAAACAAAAAAATTGAAAATTATTTTTTGTTAAAAAAATTCAGTAAATCTTTAAGAAATGACCTGGATCCGAATCCGGAATTGAATCCGGATCCATTTTTTTTCCAGTGCGGTCAAAATTAAATAGATCCTAAGCACTTAAAAACCAATTAAACGATGCCACGTGAAAACTTTCTACCAACAGAACAAATTTATATTACTTGTTGTGAAACAAATTTAAGGATATTCATACTGGAAATTGGAAACGGAAATATTTCGGTTAATATGAACAAAAGGGACTGTACGTGTATTTTCGAAATGGCAATGCCCAATTCACAGTGATAGTCTTGAAAATCCATATCTGCTCAATATTTTGGAAGATTTAGTCGTCCTAGGTTTAAAAAGTGTAAGTATTTTGCTAATTCCTATGCGCAATTATAGAAAAACTATAGGATATCCCAATAAACATGGGAATTAAATGACGACTTTCATATCGTCTTCTATCCAAGTGGCATTTTTTCTTTAACACAATTATTGCAGAATTTTTATATCGAAAATACCTGGTCTTGAAATTTTCAAAATGTGGTCTAACATTTTAATATCTTCAAAATTGATGGAGATAATTCAAAATTTGAAATTTCAATTTATTTTAAAAATAAAAATTTGTCTTCTCTGTGTCTAATATCTCCGTCAATTTTTAAGACACAAGAAAGGTATATAATATATATATACATATAGACCACTTCATGAAAAACTCGTAAGACGTACAACCTCGTTTTATACTTTCTTTGCCATGCATGAAATATCAGAAATTAAAGACGACTTCCAAGTCGTCTGTTAATTCCCATGTTTATTGGGACATCCGGTATAATTTAAAATGACCAATTTTCAAAATTATAAACATTGTTATCTAATTCATACTTGATCAGACAAAGTTTTTAAAAGTACGGATGTAAATCGGACATTGCCATCTTTAGATAGAGTCTCAATAAAATTTACGCTTACAGGCCTTTAAGGTTTGAAGTAGCTCCATAAATCTACCTGAGTTCACATGTACTATTCTTAATCATATCTTCATACCAATCCTTGTGTACTCCGGCCTCCGTCAGTAAACTGGGGAAAATTAATTATTTTTTATAAGCTAATTATCTTACAATGATAACCAGAAAACTCTTAAATAAGAAGACGACTTTATAGAAAAACTTAAGTGTATTTGATGTTGTTAAAAAGTAAATAGTTTTACTAGGACCCTTATTAAATTACTAATGAAGTGAAATGGGTCTGTTTACGCTTGTAAGATCTGAGGATCTTCAAATGAATATTGTTAAGGTTGATTCACGAGAAACAAGACTTTGCAAGTGTTCCTGAAGAAAGAACTCGAGCTCCTGATATTCTAACGCATAAACATTTTATTATAAAGCTAAAAGTTTTTATCAAACACTTCTAATTGAGAATAAGAATTTAAGCCTAAAATATTGAATTTCCGTTTGTTTCAGACCATTATATATGGGATAGATGCTAATTGTCAAACTAAAATTCTGTTAGCTCCAGATTGTGCATTCAAGGTTTATATAAGACATCTAAATATTTGCATTTTGATTTTCAACAAACTCTAGCTCTATTCTAAACAAGTAGTCAATGGATGTTTAAAAAAGTGAACCCAGATCTAATCTCGTGCTGTTACCTGATCTACCTTAACTCGTGATAAATTAAAGAATACCAGTCAATCTGACGTGGAATCCTGAGTAATTCTTGGTTTTATCTTTGGATAACCTTCCTGATCAACTCATCCTCCACGAACCTGGTTATCTCCTTGCTCCAGGACCTGATGGATTTGTTCCTCTACACTGAGCTGCTGTTCTGATCTTCATCTAGCTACAAAGTCTTCTCTGTAGTTGAAAACCTCCGCCACAGCTGCAATCTCTCCGCCGTAGATGAAAACCTCCGCCGTAGTTGCGATCTCTCCGCCGTAGCTATTGTCTCTCGTGGCCTGCGTACTCTCTGGGTGAAGTAGTTCTTTGCTTCTCTCGAACTCCAACAGCTTGAAGATAAAGCTGACTCACATAAGGCTAAGCTCAATAAATAGAAACTCTTCGCTCAAAAGAATAAATAAACTAATTTAATCTTACTTAGATATCTCCCCTATTCTCAAAGTCTCAACAGTTGGCATTGGGAGTCCAATTGGATTGATTATAGTGATAAATATGGCTTTGAATACAGTTTGAATGATGATAGTATTGGTGTTGTTTTCAATGATTTGACCAAACTTCTCCTTCTGGCAGATAGTCACAACATTCACTACATCGATTACGACAGTGGAGAGCATTACCATTCATTAACCGAATTCCCTAAAACCTTTAAAAAGAAGGTGAAGCCGTTGAACTTCCTCAGGAACTATATGAAGGAACATTTGCTCAAGGCCGGAGCTAATATGGAAAATTGTTATGAAGATGTTCTGTCTCGAATTCCATCTTTAAAAACCTGGTTCCGAACCTCCACAGCTGTTGTGATGCACCTCAGCAATGGAACCATTCAGATCATCTTATTCAAGGATCACACCAAGATAATTCTATGCCACCTGCTGGGAGCTGCACATATATTGATGATACCTGAAGAAACCGAACCTTCAGATTTGATCTGTTGGAAATGTACATTTGTTCTCAGGATATTGCTTCTAGATTGAACTACGCTTATGATAAGATGATCTCACACTCAGGGTTGATAGGGGAGATATCTAAATAAGATTAAATTAGTTTATTTAATCTCTTGAGCGATTAGTTTCTTTTTATTGATTTTCGCCTTTTGTGGGTCAGCTTTATCTTCAAGCTGTTGGAGTTGGAGAGAAGCAAAGAACTACTTCACCCAGAGAGAACGCAGCCACGAGAGACAGCAGCTACGGCGGAGAGATCGCAGCTACGGCGGAGAGATTGCAACTACGGCGGAGGTTTTCAGATACGGCGGAGAAATTGCAGCTATGGCGGAGGTTTTCAACTACAGGGAAGACTTTGTAGCTAGATGAAGATCAGAACAGCAGCTCAGCGTAGAGGAACAAATCCATCAGGTCCTGGAACAAGGAGATAACCAGGTTCGTGGAGGATGAGTTGATCAGGAAGGTTATCCAAAGATAAAACCAAGAATTACTCAGGATTCCACGTCAGATTGACTGGAATTCTTTAATTTATCACGAGTTTAAATAGAACAGGTAACTGCTGTGTCCCAAGCTCATTGGACTATTTAAAGTCACAGCTTGAGTCTAAAAGTCGTCTTCCTATTCCATAGTTGTCTGTTTATCACTGTATTTTAATCAAAAAGTATTCATTCGTTCATGACTTAATGAATAGATTTAAGAAATTAACACCAGAATAACCAAATAAAATACAAAACACTAAATTACCAACTTGCAATTTCTTTTTGAGTGTTTTAAATACAGATATTCGTGATTTCATGAGAGCAGTCCAGTGTCTAGTGAAAAATCAATTATTTATTATAAATTTTACCAAAAAAATAGTTAAATAATTGTTAGGAAAAAATATTTAAAAAACCTTCACAAAATAGAGTTTGTGGGAGTATTTCCCCCCAATTCTAAAAAAAGGGAAAGGAAACTAGGAAAGTTCCATATTTATAGTTAACATTCTTAAATGAATGGTGGTAGATTGTTCGACGATAAACTAACTCACAACTTATAGATAAGATTTGTATATTTTTTACACTAATATTGAAAAAATAAATCAAGTTGACTTATCAAGTTTAAAGTTATCAACCTGTTTGCTTGAGTATACCATTCCACCATGCGAGGTATTTTCTCCTCTAAATAGTTATATTTCATTCGTAATTTATTAACAATAATTAGTTTATTATATTATGATAATCTTATGAGGAAAAAAATGTAATAATGGAAATTTAAAAATTCCATTATTTCATTTTTATCCTCATAAGATTATTATTACATCATATTTGTGAGGTTCCATGTTCACATACCCAAGAAATTATATTAAAAAAAAATTCTGGTGAAATCCGACTATTTCAAGTTGGAACAGTTCACATTATGAAAGGTTGTAAATAAGTTTTATGCTCTTGTTTTGACTATCACTGTTTTTTTATTTTTCTAATGTTAAAATAAAAAAATAAAAAAAAAAAATTTTAAAAGTAAAAATTGGTTCCTAATTTGAAAGTAATGCATGTGATTGTTTCCTTAGTTTAGTTTGTTTATTTACCAATTTCTAATGATTTTGCTCGTTTTTTTCAAGTTGATACTAGATTTAGATACATGCTGTATGTGCCCTGAGTTTTTTTTTAGATGGGGAGAAGGTATAGTAGTGGGTTGTCTTAATCTACTTAACAATATCGTGTCTTCATTTATAGAAGAAATCATTTTCTAGATATTAGATCCTAAATCTTTCAAAAAGAGGAGATAAAAGCAGGTTATCTAGTAAGAATCAGTTCGACATGAACTGATGAAGATGTTTGTTTGCATTGCTATGGAGTGCTAAGACTCCATTAAAAGTTGTGACACTAATATTTCAATGATAAGTTTTTATACTTTTTTTAGTTTTGATTGTGGTTTCACTTCATCATCTCGAACTATGAGAGATATGGTGACTCAGATTGAAAAGCTCTGACCATACTATTTAAGCATGCAGAGATTTGCAAAATCTCACCAAACTTGGTTTGAAATGAAGATGAACTAAAAAAAATCAATAAAGTAGGAAGTCCGGCAGTATGCTTTGAGACTCGGAAGTTTGATGAAAGTGTCTAATGTAAGGCTAAAAGCATCGTCCATATTTTTGGGAAAGGTCAGAAAATGTTTCATTTACTCTCAGACAAATTTCCATTGATTCTAATTTGTCTGAGAGTAAATGACATTCCTTTTTAAAGAGGTGATTCAATGATAAACCTGAGGGTTTGCGGATTTTGCGGATTTTTTTTTGCCTTTGTAGATTTTCAAAGTATCTTTCAATGAAAATATCTCTGCGGGATTAAATGAAAATTGTTGCATACCAAAAAACCAGCTTTTTATAAAGGAATGTTTATTTCCACTCTTCTGTCAGGACTAGGGTTGAGATTCAAATTGATATTTCTGAATTAAGGGATATCAATACTTCAAAAAATGAAAAAGGTAAGTGAGCATGAAAGGGTAAGTGAGCATGTTTTACTAAAGTAAAAAAGGTAAGTTTGCATGTATTAATGTAAAAGAAAAAAGTGAGTTTGCCATGTGCATGTTGTCAGTACAAAATAATTAAGTTAATATCTATATTTATCCATACTGAAAAGATCAATATAAGGAGTGTGTAAGAATGAATATTCTTCAACTAGTGTAATAATTTCCATTCTTTAATGCTTGGAGCGTGTAAGAATATACATTCTTTCACGCTCTGACCGTGTAATAATTTCCATTCTTACACGGTCTGAGCGTTAAAGAATGAAAATTCTACACCTACAGTGTAATAATAAGCATTCTTAAACGCAAGGAAGCGAACAATATTAAAATTGTTCCTCCTGAACCGTGTAATAATGGGAATTCTTACACGATAGGTTTACTACTATGGAACCGAACAGATATGAAATAATAAAAAATATATCTTGTAATTTGTTGATTACCTAAAGAAATAGACAGATCTAGTTCAATTGGATGATATTTGGATCTGAGAGCATTTGTCTTTTTGACGTAATCAGGCCCCAACTTCTTATAGTTCTCTAATACTCCCCAGCTACAGTCCACTGGAGTACCATTCCTATAATATACAGCTATAGTTCTCTAATACTCCCAAGCTACAGTCCACTGGAGTACCATCCTATAATATACAACTATAGTTTTCCAATACTCCCCAGCTACGGTCCACTGGAGTACCATTCCTATAGTATACAACAATATTTCTCTAATACTTCCCAGCTACAGTCCACTGGAGTACCATTCCTATACTATACAACAATATTTCTCTAATACTCCCCAACTTCAGTCCACTGGAGTACCATTCCTATAATATACAACTATAGTTCTCCAATACTCCCAAGCTACAGTCCAATGGAGTACCATTCCTATATTATACAATTACAGTTCTCTAATACTCCGCTAGTCAACTGGAGTACCATTCCTATAATATACAATCATAGTTCTCTAATATACTCCCCAGCTACAATCCACTAGAGTACCATTCCTATAATATTCAACTGTAGTTCTCTAATACTCCCCAGCTACAGTCCACTGGAGTACCATTCCTTCATAGTTTTCTAACACTCCCCAGATAGAGTCCACTGGAGTACCATTCTTATAATATACAATTATAATTCTCTAATACCTCCCGCTAGTCAACTGGAGTACCATTCCTTTAATATACAATTATAGTTCTTCAGTACTCCCCCACTAGTCCACTGGAGTACCATTCCTATAATAAACAATCATAGTTCTCTAATTCCCCCCAGCTACAGTTCACTGGAGTAAAATTCATACGTTATAAAACTATAGTTCTCTAATACTCCCCAGCTTCAGTCCACTGGAGAACCATTCCTATGATATACAAGGAAAGTATTCTATTTACGATCTCACATCTATTCTTCACTCAACAAATTTAGTCTAATAAATAAACATGAACCAAAGTATTTTTAAAATTTTCAATACTTTTTCTGGACATTATCAAGGTGAAAGAAAATAAAAGCTTACTTGTGGGATCTGGTAAGGGTGTAGTCGAAGTCTACAATAAACTGTAGATTACTAGTTCCTCCGTCAACCATCTTCCTAATCTTCTCCTGCAGTCCAGCAGGGTCACCAACCTGCAAAAAATAATTGTCAAAGAATTCAAGATTCATAGTTAATTTATAAAGTTTTGATGGAATCAGAAATGAGACATGGCGCTTACAGTGGAACCATAAAACCCATAAAATATTAGTATAGAAAGATGACATTGAAGCAGCCTTTTGGGTATTTAATGTTGAGTAATAATGTGAATAGTTTTAACAGTAACTTGAACTTACATCAAATAAATAGATGAAATAAGTCTGTATACACTGCAAGTGCACATTTACTGTATTACATGTTCAAATAGCTTGGAAACCCCGCTTTGCCTGTAAACCAAGTTAACCCGTTAAAGTTTTATATACTCACTACCCAACTTAAAAATTTTAAATAATATTACCGAGGATCTCCCGAGTTCCCAAATCAAAATTTGAGGCAAATCGGTCAAGGGGTTCCTGAGTTCAGATCGAACATCCAAAAACAAACAAACAGAGATTACAACTTTATGTATATAGATAAACTATTTAAACAATTTAAATCCAGTCTAACAGGCGTCATTCTATTCTACATATTATGGGCCTAACACTTCTTTACTTCTTTTTTAATAACTTAACCTTTAAAATCTTAAAACTTCATTGCTTAAATCATTTAACCCCTATCATTATAATTGTAGAGAAACTTTTTTCAGATAAGGGGGGGGATTTAACAGAAAAAAATACCCCTGCTGGTAGGGTTATTGGCTATGTTCATTCTATGATTTTATACATTATATGGGAACCCAGCGTTACCCAGGGAAGTCATTGTTAGTTCCACCGTTAGGCGGTTTACCCGTGCTTTCCCGTAAATTACTTTTTTTAACTATTTTCCCCGGCCAACCAACTTAGAATCACAAAACCAAGCTAAGAAGATTACTGTGGATCTCCCGAGTTCCCAAATCAAAATTTTAGGCAAATTGGTCCAGAGATTCATGAGTTGTGATCGGACAAACAAACAGACAAACAGAGATTACAACAGTATATATAAAGATAATAGGATAAGGATGGTCGTTAAACAAAGTCCTCCGTGGCTGTAACGAAAAAAAAACTGGTAATTGGATTCAATAATACTATGGTTTTCTACATTGTAATAGGATAAGGTTGATCGTTGCGCAAATTCCAAAGTCGGGCAAGCTCTATGACCGAGATAAAATTAACTAAGGTCTGTCCTAGAGAACGATTTCTGAACCCCCCCGGCCCCCCTATCAATTTTGTACATTACAATTTTCAACAAAATTAGTATATATTTAGGATTAGGTTATGTTAGGACACTTTCTGGGTCGAGCGCTGCGGCTAGGACAGGCTAGGGGGCCGAGCGCTACAGCCACAAGACCAAATTTTTCCATGTGAATATTCTAAAAAACTACATGAAAATCGATAAAAATGATAGGAGGGAGGTCCAAAAATCGTAAACTAGGAAGTTACCATAGATCCAGTCCAAAGTTCTCTTGAAAACTACCATATTTAAGCCGTTTAAGGTGAAGTAAATAAAATATACAAAATCAAACCCTCTTTTTGTAAAATGTTAAATCCCTAGGGTCTGTCCTAGTGAACAATGTTTGGACCCCCCCACCCC